TTATTTGCATATCTGATCTAACTAACAAAATACAACATTAAGTCACGAAACAGTAAAACAAAAATGTTTTCTTTGCATTACAACAACTGAGCATCCATAACAATTGTGCATTTCACACCCTGAAACCACAGGACTGATTTCAATTAGGAGCTGCTTATCTAGGGGATACAATAGAGAAAAGATCAGTTATAGATAGAGAATTAAAATGATGCAAGAAGAAAAGATGATTAAACTACTGAATATGGGGAATACCATAACCTATTATATGGGATGCATTCTCATATCACACAATTCTACAATAATAAAAGTGTGACTGATTTGTCACTGGAGAGAAACAATACATTTGCAATTTACATGTTGGAATGAACATACACTTGAGGTTTTTGTAATTGAAAATAGAGATAATAAACAATGTAGCAGTGGCACTTACTACTTATAGAAACAACTACTATAGAAGAAAAAAAAAAATCGTAACCATCGCTTTTGTCAGTCTCTCATCTGGTAGATGCTATGCAAGTACGTATATATCCAACTGCACACATAACAAAGATTACAGCTTTCATAAAAAAATAAAAAATAAATAGTCATACAAACTAATATTAGTACTTTTTGTGAGTTTGTGAAGGCTAATGTTCCTTAATAAGTTCCCGCTGACTGTTCTGGATCCCCACGAGCCATGCTGCAGCTCAATCTGTCACGAAGAAGAAATTTTTTATTGGTAAAACGATCAGCCGATTTGACCATCATTGCCGGGAAAATCGGCCGATCGTCAAAATTGGCCGCAAATTTTCCAACATGACCGATAAAAAAAAATGCCAAAACCCCGAAAAATGGCCGACCAATTAATCCACTAACGGTGCAAAAATCGGCCGATTTTTGATCCGTCTATGGCTGGCATTTCAGGGCCCCATACAGCCTACCTGACAGGGCCCCCCTGAAAATATCACAATGATAGCGCTCAACAGCACCATGGTCATTCATGGTGAACTACAAGCCAATAGCTGCAAAGGATGTCTGTATTTGTAGTTTTCCATCTACAGAACTCTGTGAATGAATAACGCAGTTGGGCGGGTGGAGCTAGCTGTCACAATGGGGGATCAAGGGGGAATGGGTGCTACAGCAACATGTTACTCCTGAATATCGGTGTAATGTGTAACCAGGGGCAGACTGACAACTCATGGGGCCCCCGGGCAATAGGGGATCATGGGGCCCCTGTGTCCTTGCCCAAACTCAAAAAAGCCTATGAAAAAGGTACCAGGGGCATCTTATGGGGCCCCCTACTGACCCTGGGCCCTCGGGCATTGCCTGAGTTTCCAAATGGTCAGTCCGCCCCTGTGTGTAACATGTTAGGAAAGGTGAACTTATCCTTTAAGCCTTTGGAACCATTTTGAACCCAGCAGCATCAGAACATCAACACTATTGGGAGGACCTGACATCAGTGTACAGAAGATTTCTATACTATGCAGCAGCCAGACAGTAAGTTCTATGACCTTGGTGCAAAAAAAAAAATCTTAACCTTTATGTCCCCCAGCTGTGATCCCCACAGCTGATCATTAGTTGTGCAAACAGACACAAATAGCTGTGGCCACTGACAGCCCTGTGTGTGTGTGTGGGCTTGGCGGTCTTTGCTATCCGTACACAGCTGGCAATCCCAGCAGCAGGATAAAGTAGATTATTGCCTCTGACATTCACATTGTGTAAAAAAACACCAGTGTGAATAGTGCCTTAGGACGGCTTCACACTGCCCAGCTGTGCTTTTGCTAAAGCACAGCTAACCTACGTTTTTTATGTGGGTTAGCTGCGCTTTCCTATAGACTTCTATGAGGTCTTGTGGTTTTGGTGTAGTTTCAGAAAGCGCACCAAAACTCCTGCATGCTGAATCTTTGTTGCACTTTCTGAAAACTGCACCAAAACCACAGCAGATCATAGACGTCTATACTAAAGTGCAGCTAACCCACACAAAACATGCAAGTTAGTTGCGTATTGCCCAAAGCACAGCAAGACTGATCTGGTGCAGTGTGAAACTGCCCTTAGATATACTTTAAGAATGAATAGTGATGGGCTGCATGTTCGAGTTGAACGTTAGTTGGACTCAAACATCAACCATTTGTGTGTTCGGCGAACACACGAATTTCAAGGGCGTTCAGCAGGCTGTCCGCCCCTCACATCCCACAATGCACTGTGTCCTGACAGTGCATCGCGATTGACCAAAGCAATGCAACTGGCTAATCACAGTGCATGATGATGTCACAAAGGGTAGGGTGACCCCACCCCCTTGTGACACCGTCGCACTATTTAGGAACTGTCATACCGGCATTGCATCGTGATTGATGTTGGATCTACTTCGGGGGACATTTTTAAAAATGTATTTTTTTCAACCTGGATTCTTTCTTAGATTATTATTTTATTTATTTTATTTCAGGTACTTATATAGCGCCATCAGTTTACGCAGTGCTTTACATATATATTGTACATTCACATCAGTCCCTAACCCTCAAGGGGTGTACAATCTAAAGTGCCTAACTCACATTCATACATACACATGCTAGGGCCAATTTAGACAGGATCCAATTCACCTACCAGCATGTCTTTAGATACACAGAATATAACTGGATACTAACATTTATAGGTAAAGTTGAACCAGGGAATATCCGATTGCCTTTCGGGGGATCAGGAAGGAATTTTTTTCCCAGCAGGAGTAAATTGGATCATGCTTTGCTGGTTTTTTTTCCTTCCTCTGGATCAACTGTGGGTATAGGATTATAACTTTTTTTTTTTTTTAATGGTTGAACTGGATGGACTGTTGTCTTTTTTCAGCCATACTAACTATGCAACTATGTAAACCGCCTCCCACCCACCACATAAGGGAGGGAGGCAGTTCTCTCATTCTTGGAGGACCTCATATAATGCCCTCCCCCCGGAGGATCACCGATCTCAGTAAAGAGCCAATGATGTAAGCTCTATCATGTGATTAGCTGTGTCCAATCACAGCTGATCACATGTAAATAGGAAATGCCGGCTATTAGCGGTCCTCTCCTCATGATGACAGCACATGAGGAGAGGAGAGCCGATAAGTGGCATTCTTCAGGACATCTACACTGATCATCAGGGCACTGATGATCAGTGTAGCCCCATCAGTGCCACCTGTCAGTGCCCATAATTGCCACCTGTCAATAATTGCTACCTGTCAGTGTGCCCATCAGAGCTGCTTTTTAGTGCTGCCTATCAGTGCTGCCTATCAGTGCCAGTCAGTGGCACCTATCTGTGCCCATCAGTGCCGCCTATCAGTGCCGCCTATCAGTCCCCATCAATGCCATTTGTTTGGGTAAAGTGTTGCATCACTGCACAATTGTCATTCAAAGTGTGACAGCGCTGAAAGCTGAAAATTGGCCAGGAAGGGGGTAAAAGTGCACGGTAGACAAGTGGTTAATAAAGGACTTGTCAAAGACTGTCTTCTGTCATTTTTACATTACACTTTTTTTTCTGTGAATGGATAGCAATACCATGTACCACATACTCATTCACATGGGGGGGGGGGGGGGGGGGGGGGGGGGTCTGGGATCTGGGGGCTCCTTGTTAATTCTGATAAGCCCCACAGACACCCACACCCATAGGCCACGGTTGTGGGAAAGAGACCCTTGTGCCCATCAACATGGGGACAAGGTGCTTTGGGGGGGAGCCCCCCTGCCCCATAGCACCCCCCCATGTTGAGGGCATGTGGCCTGGTATGGTTCAGGAGGGGGGGGCACTTGCTCGTTGAAGATGGATGCCAGCACATGGAGCAACACAATCTCTGAGGAAAGGTACTTATATAGTGCCATCAATTGACGCAGCGCTTTACATGTAAATATATATTGTACATTTACATCAGTAACCCTCAAGGAGCGTACAATCTAAGGTGATCATTCTGGAGAGTCATATACTGGAGAGTCATATGGTACCACCAACGATTTATGATATAGCCAAGAGGAGAGAGTTCCACCACCATTGTCGGAGGGATCCATCTTACATCCGGAGGGACACCCACTGCATTACTCAAGGCTCATTGGTCCTTAGGGGCCTGGGCAGGAAAGTGATGGGGCACCCCCCAACTATAGAGGATTGGCACATTGCAGTTCACATCTGCATGGAATCTGTTATATACACATGGACACTACCCACAAAGCTATTTTTGTGTCACTGTAATGCATGAGATCCTTATTTGTATGTGCTTCACTTCACACTTATGATATCTTTATGTGTGTGCATATGTTTATGACCACCCAGGCCACACATTATTGAGTGGCTTGTGTGACTATATATACATTTTTATTTGTGACCCTTAGCGCCGTACTGTTTGTTTATATTTTAGTTCACTTGCTCGTCCCCCCCCCCGTTTCCTGACCTGCCAAGCTGCATGCTAGGATAAGGGTCTGGTATGGATTTTGTGGGGACCCTCATGCTATTTTTAATTTTTTGTTTTAATTGACGTGCAATGCCGACAATTCTTTTTACATTCAGCTGAAAGAATAACGTTTTTTGTAGCTGTGCCGTATCTTAGGGCATACTCAGCTGCGGTAAGACACCACTTAGTGAATTGTCCCCACTGTTTGAAGTTCGCAGTTGAACTTTCGTCAAGGTTCGAATGTTCGACCGCAAACCGGGTGTTCGGCCCATCACTAATAATGAAAATGATTAGTAAAACCAACAAGTCCTTTACTGATATAAAAGATTACATTATTAGTTAAAGTTAATCCATTTTTAATAGTTTTCTATACATTAGAGGAAAGAAGGCAACTGCGGAGGAAAGAGACATTTTTTTTCCTGTTCTGTCAAAGGAAGAACAGAACGTCACTGTACGAACAGCAAAGTCCCTATTCTGCAGGAAGTCGCAGTTTCCAGACGGACCGCATTTAAGAACGGACCGGAAATAATAGTTCCCATGCCATAAGTGGTTTTATTGGCCGCAGTTTTTATTTATTTTATTTGTGTTGTGTCCCTGTGTCTTTCAGCCGCCGGTCATGTTCTGTAAGGCGTTCAGAGTGAAGTCACACAGTGCCTTGAAAAGCTCGGACAGGTGATGATGAGTGTTGTGTGTACTTAGATATTGCTCGGTGTGCTGGAGAAGTATGGACATGACATAGACATGTGTTTTGTGTTCAGGAAGGCCGGGCACATGCAGCACAGTTTAGGGTGTAGGAAGTATGCTTGTATATATTTTAGGAGCTTCTTTTTTTTGCTGTTTGTGTGCAGATACTCCTTTACAATAGCTGGTCTGATCTCAGGTCATCTTTGTTTATTGTTATACAAAGGTCACATTGCTTATGATCTGAGGCAATCAGAAATCTAATACTGATCATTTCATTGGGGATTGGTTCTAGCCAAATCAAACTAGATCTTTTCATGTTTCAGTAGATATTAGTAAAAATGAGCTAAAAATTGGAGGTGTAATGATAGACTATTGTAAAGGCTTTTCAGTACTGAATGATAGGTAAACAGCAGGGATGAGCTCAGCCTGAACTTACAGGAGTAAGCCTGGCAGGAAGCTGTCACCTGTACAAGGCCAATCATCTGTGGTTATGGCATGCCCCGCAACAACATTTATACACGCCCCTTGTATATGTGCAGCGTGGATAATGCCCCAACTGCAAATGATTGGCCCAGTATAGGTGACAGAAAAGAAAAATGATGGTATCTGCTTGCTAACTGCCTCCTTTAGCAGTAAAGCGTCCTCTCTGCGTTGGATCACGTATCTGATACATGATCCAGTTCTTCCATGTAGGGGGCGTGTCGCCCCGGTTACGCTGTGATTGGGTACAGCACAGGCCACTCAGCGGGTCCCAGCCAATGACTGATGGCCGAAACCTGCTGATCGGCAAAACAGACGACAGGGCAAAGCTCTGTGATTGTAAACAACACAGAGCTCCGTCCTGACAGCGGGGATGTGCCGATTTTTGTTTTCCTGCAAAGCAGGAAAGAAAAGCGGACACATCCCTTAGTGAAATCAGCACACAGTAAACACGCCAAGCATTGTAAAGCATTGCACACAGTTAACCCTTTGATTGCCCCTAGATATTAACCTCTTCCCAGCCAGTGTCATTAGTACAGTGCCAGTGTATGTTATTAGCACTGATCACTGTATTAGTGTCAGTCAGTTCCCACAAAGTGCCAGTCAGTGTCAGATTGCCTGCCGTACTATCGCAGTCCCATATAAGTCACTGACTGCCGCCATTGCGAGTATAAAAAAATATTCCAGTATATATCATTGTTTGTAGACACTATAACTTTCACATAAACCAATTAATATACATGTCTTAGGATTTTTTTTTTTCCAAAAATATGAAGCTGAGTACAGTTTGACCTAAATTTATGAAGAAATTTGATTTTAAAAATGTTTTATTGGATATGTTTTATCACAGAAATTAAACAATATTGTGGGGGGGGGGGGGGGGGGGGTTTATTCAAAATTTTTGGTCTTTTTTTTTTTTTCTTTATTTTAATAAAAAACCCAGTGGTGATCAAATATCACCAAAAAAGCTATACCTGTGTGAAAAAATAATGTTAATACCATTTGGATAGATACAGCATTGCATGTCTGCGCAATTGTCAGTTAAAGTAGCGCAGTGCCAAATGGCAAAAAAAAAATGTCATGAAGGGGGTAAAATCTTACGGAGGGCAAGTGGTTAATTGATACAATTTTCTCTCTTCCTGGCACCAGCATGGACACACACACACACTCTCTCTCGTAAAAATATTTTCTTAACCAGGGTTTCTCCAGAGATTACTGGTTCACCTTGAGCAATTTCTACTAAGACAAGTAACCACTTACAACAATGTATTTTTTAGCTATTTGTTAGGCTCTGTTCACATCTGAGTGTTCCAAAGGTGCGTGTAAAATGCACATCGTCTTGCTTTGCCATTAAAAAAGGTTGCAAGAGGCTGCAGTAAACAATGTCTTATTACCATTTATAGGAACTTTCCAAATTCAGTGATCCCAACATTGGGTGCAGAAAGTGGAGGGACTAATAGCAGCACATCAAAATAGAAGTAATTGTGTAATAGTGGTTGCGGCCAAATATGGAGCTAATAGTGCTGTAGTTTAATAGCTACTGGCCTTCAGGGGATTAAACGAAAGCTAGAGTGTCTACCCAATACTAATGGCTAAGGTTTCGAACAATAGATGCTCCATGCTTGTACAGAATGTCCATCAAGTAGTTTCATAAAGTGATTAAAGCAGAACTAAAGGCAAACTTTTTTTTTTTTCATTTTGGGTAACATAAGAAAGGGTTATACCCCTGTTGGTTTTTTTTTTGTTTTGTATTCCTTTTGCCTGCTGTGGCCTATTCATTAGACTTCCCTTGTCATAGCCAATAAGGGACATCCCTGGTATTCACCAGGGTCACCTAAACTAGTGTCCCCATTGGGGTTTTCTTTCACTCTTGGTGATAATGGTAAACAGGATGAATAGAGAGGGGAAATTTCCAGAACGGGGGAACAAGCAGCAATAAAAAATATTTTTTCCTTCAGCTATAATTTAAGTAACATATCGTAAAATGATAATGCCCCTCAAACAGAATGTTGGCTAGCTTTAAGTCCATAAGGAGCACTGGTGGGTTTATGCACTGGAGATCAGGAAATCTAATAAATGGGAAACAGCCATCCAATCCTCTCCTCAGTTCCTTGTTCTCTTCCCTCTGACCCATTTTCCCCTTCCTCACTCCAAAGACCCAAACCTTGTCCCACCCTGTTCCTCTCCCTACCTTTCAGTACCATGTAGCCTGGTTATCAATGATGAGCTACTCATGCATGCCACCCCTTCCCTTACTTTCTGGGGATTTCTATAGATTAAACAATGACCTATCAATGTGAATGAAATTCAGGCATCGCAGTTATTTCTGGTTAGTTCCCAGGTATAAAAGTTCCCAGCAGATCGAAAGTTCTGTGAACAAAACCATACCTTGTAATAGATTGATGCAATGTTATCAAGGACCTAAACCGCAACATAATTTCCAATATTTCAAATGAAATTGCTTTTGCAGTGAGAAATTGAGGAGCAGTAATACACTTCAAGGACTGTGGAGCTCATTGATACTTTTGTTGTTAACATTTGTTTTTTAAACTTAAAAATTCATAGCACCCGTTATACCTTTGATAGGCTTAAAAAGAATTGCCCACAGAGTTTAATCAAAAGACAAAAATTCAAAAAGCTTTATATCCTCCTAAGCCTGCATTTAAAAACAAACTCCAGGCATATTTCTTTTTTAGTTTAAAGTGGCTGCAAAGGTAAAAGTTTTTTTGCCTTAAAATGATATTAAAGGGGTTGTTTTTTACAAATTCTTTATTTATATAGAACAGCATATGTCCAACAATTCCATATGAACAGTCAGGTAAAGGCAATGAGGAAGTGATGGCCTAATAACAAATATTTCACGAATCCGCATGACAACATAAGCATATAATAAATAACATAGAGCACGCCTTTATAGAAACAGGGTCCCTTCATATGACCGAACCGTTGACGGAGACTTTTTTAAAAAAAAATAAATCATCATGCTTGCCTGCTCTGTACAGTGTTGTTGCACAGAGCAGCCCCGATCCTTTTCTTCTTTAGGTCCCCCTAAATACTGACTTGAGCCTGATCTTGATCCAGCTCTATCTACTTCTGCAGCAGATTTTCTGCCTTTTTCTGGCTCTCACAGGCTTGGCTAAGAACATTGGCGCCTGCTGCTGTCAGTCAGAAGCTGTGAACAGAGAGTGGGGGATGGGGCCAAGCCAGGCTGTGTGTTTGAATAGATGCAAGCAACATGGCTCAGGATCCAGCAAGCACGAGTGTCCCCATCAGAAGCAGCTTCCTATTGGGGCACTTAGCTGGTGGGGGAGCCAGGTGCGCTGGTGGGGGACACCGGAAGACGAGGATCGGGGCTGCTCTGTGCAAAACCACTGCACAGAGCAGGTAAGTATATGTGGAAGTAAGTATATGTTTGTTATTTTAATTTAAAAAATTGTAAAGCTTTACATAGAGTGAAGAAGGCTTACATTTTTCAAGTTTGTATTCCTGTCTGGGACTTCTTTGATGTCAAGATGTCACTGATACAGGAGCATTAAAACCACTGCCAGATATTCTAACACTCTGCTAAAAATGTGTTGTTGTATGTTGTCTTTGAAGAGATTTCCTATTACTTTTTGTGAGGGGGAAAAACTTCCTAATAAAGACAGAGACATCAGTATAACCCAACACAGGCTCTAACCCTTAACCTGCTCTTTCAAAAGCAAAAACACATTTTGACTGAAGTTGGGAGTGACAAACTAGGAGGGCAGAGAGAGAGCATGCTGAGTCTTAGCATTCAGAACACGAGTTGCCGGGGATTTTAAAGATGGAGGATCGGCAAACAATAGGGCAGAAGGGACCAGGATAAGGAGGGTAAATATAAAAAGTGTGGGTCAGAGTTCCAACAGTTCACAAAAAAGGGATCCAGTGACACCTGGCAATTGGACACCCACAATGAACACAATCCATGTCAGGGTAGCACTAAAAGTCCCAACAATCCCACTCTCCAGATAGCAATACACAGCCAGTATGGAACTACAAGTCCCAGTGCCCAGATACCTCACAGCTAATAAGGACCTACAAATCGTAGCAGTTCCAATCACAGCATACCCGTATGCAGAACTTTTTGTCCCATTATTTCTAATCTCCATGTCTCCCATTGAATTGCTGAATAGCACAGGGCGAGCTCTAAATATGCACTTATTCTTTTCTGTGATCACAGGTCAGTTATATTGTATCTGAAGATCAGAGATCTGAGCCCAAAGTACTTGTGCAAAGGTATCTGGCTATATCTTTCTACAGGATATGCTAAATTCTATGTTCCCTGTGCCTATAGGAACCCATTGATTAAACATACAGATCCGCTCAGTATGGGATCCCAGTTGTTATATGGACCTGAGTGTTGCTGTTACAGAAGCAAGGAGAGCATTCTGCTCATGTGGTAGCTTTGTACAAGGGAGAGCACTCACTCCTTTGATGCTGGGGGCAAGTGTTCTAAATATTGTCTGTCCTAGTGTTTAGGCAGAATGGAAGTTTTTTTTGGCCAGGCTGTAGGGATGCAGCTAATGGCCTACAGTTATAGCATTTAATCTAAGCAAAACTTGGGGCCCCTTGACTGCATAGTATTGCGATGCAATTTCCATAATGCAATAGGAATAGTAGTTCTCAATGGACATTTTTCTGAATGTGATTGTGGGCAGATGTGATTATGAGCAGGACAGTTTTAGTTCTCAGTGGGAATGGGTTTGACAGACCTGGAGGCTACTCGTCTGTCGGTCAAATGATGCAATCTATGCAGGCATGTCAGATCAGGATTCTGAGACTCCTGGATCCTTTCACTACAATGAGTGGCATCGCAAATACGTCACCGTTCACTTACAGAGGAACAAAACTGAGGGAGTCACAAAACCATGACCATGAAAAGAGCAGGCATAGCGGCCACCAGTCTTATGAAACATATATGATATAGAGGAGAATAAGGCCTTACGCTGTATTCAAGTGGGGATCACTCAGTGGCTTTATGACTGTTCCAATGACCTGAAGATATTGAGTAAAGGCAATAAAGAAGCTATTTATATATAGAATAAGAATTCTGTTCAGAGTTTAGCTTTAAAGCTTCCTATGATTGGCTGAGGTGAGTGGATGACATCACAACCTCTGCCTCAGCCAATTTAGAGGAAGTGTTTGTATTCATTTGTAGAATACAAAACCTCCGGTGGTGAATGTCTGAGCTGCATTCAGCTTGACTCCATTTTGTTCTAGGAGTGGGATGGGAAGTCATCATCCAACTGCTGAAACACACACTGTAAAGTTTCTATAGCTGTTAGTGCACTAAATAGTTTAATAGTCAGCTTGGCCCAAACAATCTATTTAAAGGGACATTAAATGTGGAGTTAGGCTTAATGAAAGCCATAGACGTATCGACTTCTTTCATTCAGCCCAAAGACTAATGGATTCCACCTATCCACGATAAATAGTACAAATTGAGGCATCTCCCCTTCCGGGTGTTGTATTCAGAAAGTCACAGTGCCTACAGCTGTCTTATTTCTTTAACAGTGGCTACATTTTTTTTTTTTTGCCAGTTTTTCTCCACCCACAGTTTAAATTTTGTCCAACTAAGCAGGAATAGGCAAAGAAGAGGCTGCAGGGGACCAGTTACACTGCTGGGGGGACCCTGTTAGTTCATGGAAGAAAGATAATTTTACTTTATCATTATACCAGCATCCCAAGACATAACAAGCAGTTAAGCTTTGCAGTGCCAGGGCCCACTGCAAGGGTAGATTTTTTTTCTTTTTCCTGGAGTTGGGTTTTAATGAAAAAAGTACAGTTTTTGTGCACACTGTACACTCAATGTGTTTTGCAGCTTCTAAGGCATTCTGCCAATTTTAACTCTCAGGTGTTATGTCTTATGTGTTAGTTTATGCTTGATTTGATACCATTAGGTTAACTTTATGCTGATACTATTCGTACCCAATGGGAGCGCACACTTCACTGTTCGCTGTCTCTCTAGGGATCTCTAACTAGTACAAAAATTGTATACGCAATGCATGTCTTTTGAATATTGTGGGAGTTAATTGATCTGTTTTAAAGCTGCAATGCAAAGAAAGTTAAAATAAGCAAGTGAACTGTGTTTCAGTTCTTCATGTTTTACACTCGACAGGAAAAAGTTGCGAGGAGACATTAGCTCTGCGTTTCCTTCACTGACGACTGAAAAGCTTGCTGAACTAATGCCACCCAAAGAAGACTTGACTGTTGTTAAAGTATTTGTCCACAAAGGAGATGCAGTGTCAGTCTATGTCCTCAACAAGAATCCTATCGTATTTGAACTAGAAAGAAATTTCTACCCAACAGGTTTGATTTTGTATACACAAGGCAATTGTCAGATTTTAACTGTCACAATTCAGTATTTCTGTTTCAATATTTTTACTAAATTTTGCAAGATCATGAATAAACAGGGAAATGGTTATCAGTACTTTACATAGCATATCGGTTTTGCTTTACCAACACATACGAGAAAGAGGGAAAAAAACTATTTTAATTGTATCCACACACAAAATGTCTTTCAATTGCTTACAACAGTGATGAATGTAATTAAACCAAGTATGTGCAAACAGGTAGGGAATAGAGAGGGACAAGTGCAAGAAAATCTCTGGATGAGGTCATGGGGGTGAAATGTATTTCATTCCACAATTATGTCAACTTTGTGGTACCTTCATAATTTGGGTGTTACACTTTTACAAGCACTGTCTATTTCCTGAAACATGCAGCCTAAATAAAACAGTATTAATGCGATATGCAAATTGTATTTTTTTTTTTTTTTAAAGGTCATCAGCTAAGTCTATCCACTTGTCCTGGCAGTTGAGAAATAGATATATATATATTGCCTAATATTCTGCAGAGAGAAATCATGGATGACTGTCAAGGAAGAGAGGAGGTGTCTGACATGCAAGGCAGTAATTATAAGCATGGCTGTGTGCAAAGCAAGATGACACCATCTATTGAGATATTTGAAAGTCTTTAACTGCCTCCCGCCCGCCATATAGTACAATGACAGGTGCAAGGTGGTTCTCTCATTCTGGGAGGACATCATATGATGTCTTCCCATTCTAACCGCACATGCACTGCTCCGGGAGCGCGCGGCTCTGTCCCTCGGACACGGGATCACCGATCAATGGAAAGAGCACTGATGATTAGTGTGCCCTGATGATCTGTGTAGCTCCAGCAGTGCCACCTGTCAGTGTCCATCAGTGCCAGCTCTCAGTACTCATCAGTGCCACATTTCAGTGCCTACCAGTGCACATCAATGCCACATATCAGTGCCCATCTGAGCACCTTTTAATGTCAGTCAGTGCTGCCAATCAGTGCCACCTATCAGTGCCGCATATCAGTGTGCACCAGTGCCACCTAACTGTGCCAGTCAGTGCCGCCTATCAGTGCCCATCAGTGATGCCTGTCAATGCCCATCAGTGCCACCTATCCGTGTCCATAAGTGCAGCCTTTCAGTGGTCATCACTGGAGAAAGAGAAAAAAAAAGTTTTGGTTTTTTTTTTTTCAAAATTTTCAGTGGTTTTTGGTTTGTTTAAAAAAAAAAAACCCAGAGGTGATTAAATACCACCAAAATAAAGCTCTATCTGTCACAAAAAAATGCTAAAAATTTCATATGGGTACAATGTTGAATGACTGTGCAATTGTCATTCAAAGTGCAACAGCGCTGAAAGCTGGAAATTGGCCTGGGCAGGAAGGGGGTATAAGTGCCCTGTAGGCTAGTGGTTAAAGAGCTTGTAACCAATTTTTTCCTAAGTTTTGGTTAGAGCACGGATGGATTAGAACCTCTGACAAGTATTGTGGTTCGGGTTTTTTTTTTTTTTGGGGGGCTATGCATACACTTTTAAGAGACCATTTTCCTGTTAAACTGTATGATCTCTGCAGGCATTTAGCCAAGTTCTTACATAAGCAAACATACTACTTTCCAGTTAGATGTAATATTTTTGTAGGCACATAGCCCAGTGGCTAAAGGGTAAATGTTAAACTGCCTAAAGTTTGATCTTGGTTATCACCTAACTTATGATCGTCTTCAGAAAAAATGCATTGTATATATTTATATTATTGTAAATTTACATATGTTTATAATCATGCTCAACTTTGTGTTCAAACAGTCTACACTTTATGGCACCATCCAGATCTTTTACCAGTGTTCACCACCTGGCCACCTGTATTTGAAAGAATGTCTGGTGATGGCGGTGCAGGTAAGGTGTTTTTTTTTTTTTTTTTCTTGGTGTATGGTTCTAAAAGGCTGTTTCAAACTGAACTATAAAACTGCTATTGACCAATTTAGGGTTTAGATGGTAAACCCTGGAGATGAGCTCTTCTGTTCTAATCCTTGATTTTTCTTCCAAAAATATTTTATTAATATAAGAATAGACAAGATAGCATATAAAGCTATAAAGCACAGTCAGAACCCAGACATGATATATTGCTTCCCGTTTCACAGACGGGACTTAGTGTAAACTGTAATACAAAGCAATGTGGTGTAGAACAATACATCAAGCATACAATTCAAACCATTGGATACGTAGAGGAAAGTAGGTGCATCACTGAAGGTGTATGTCGTCTCGTCTTGAGTATCAGCAATTCTTAATGATGATGTGATATGAAGATTCGAGCATGGAAGGCATTAGATGTTGTTAAAGTCATAGTTTACGTGTTTATAGCTTAAGTGTATAATATAGTTGCAGTTAGTCATATCTGCGTGAAGGTGAATGCACTATTTGGTTGGTGAAAAATGACTGATAAGGTGGTATAACAGGTGTGAAATAAGAGAGAGGTCAGAAAGAAGAACAGCAAGAAAAAGAAATGTAGGATGAGATGGTAGGTGGGTTTAAAAAATAAAAAAAAAAAGTATTTTATTTAATACGGGGGGGAGGGGGAGTAGTGGGTTGAGTGACAGTAGCATATATAGGCAATAAAAAGTTAAAATGGATCACCTCCCCAAGTATTAGCCGAGCCGGAAAGGTAATATTAAAACTTAGAATATGTTACGTGCAAGATCAGACAGTGGGGTAACACGTGGATCAGATACCCCATAAAGCATATCATGATATAGCTCTTCAGCCTATCTTTACGTGTGATAAAAGTGTCTTCGGTGAACCGGGTATTCCCCGATACAGCTTTGTATTAGGACATTTAATCCGGGGATATAGATTGATCATTTACTATTAGGTGATAGGTAGAAGTGGATTTGAAATGACTCCAGCATGCCCATGTTTTCTGAAATCTCTCGAGATGTTCCTTAGCTATAGAGATCAGTTCCTTCATTTCCTCAGTTTTGTCGATCCTAGCAAACCATTCTCGTACAGTGGGAACATGTGTGGAGCGCCAGTGTACTGGGATACATTGCTTTGCAGCATTCACCATGTGCTAATACTCATGTCTCATCATACTTCAGGTGCATTCCAGTCAAAATGCAGTTACTGGACATGCTGTAGAATTAATCTCTGTGGGCACCAGAAAGACCGAAGTTATTGTGTTAGCCGATACATCCTAAACCCACTGCTCTGCATTGTCCACGTACTGGCAGGGTGTTTGCTCAAAGATCTTGTCATCGCTCTTCATTGAAGAGAGTAATGAATGCTCCACTCTGTTTTTCTGGATAATTTTTTTCAAATCTACAAACGATAGCTGCAGCCATAATGTCTCCACCCAAAACCACTGCCTCTGTAAACAAGGAATATATACTTTCAAATATTGTGTTCTTTACATTTTTGTTGTTCATGGTGTTTTCTAGATTTTCTCTTTTTCTGAGTCTTGAGCAATTGGTGAGTGTATTTTATGTATTTCTTCTTTTTCAGATTTGATGCTCCCTGGTGTTTTGGTATCATCTTTTGGTTTACCTGAGGTACGGCAGGGAACCCTGTGTGCAATCACCTTAGTGGGAAACAGGTACACCGTATATAATATGTAATCGGGTAGAATAGATCGTAATTTTTTTCTATCCCCGGAGATGTTGCTATACTTTTTTTTTTTTTTTCCCTTATACTTTTTGCTTTACTTTTTTTTTTCAACGTAAAAGGTAACTAGAAGCCTACAGTAAGCATTGAAAACAATCTTATAAAGACAAAGTTCCTTAGTGGGGATGTAGACAATGACAAAACCTGTCCTTAACACTACCTCACTCTACCCAAAACGTGAAAAAAAAAAAAAAAACACATTTATGGCTGTACATCCACTTTCATTTGTGGGAAGGTAATCCGTGCAGTAAAACATGTTTCGTTTGTGTGTGTTGAAACGTAATTAATATATTTACTATTGTTATTATAATAACCTTGTTACTATGACACTATGGGGTTGATTTACTAAAGGCAAATAGACTGTGCACTTTGCATCATCCGATCATGTGCATGCAAAAAAAAAATTTTTTTTTTTTTTTTTATTTCCCATCAAAAATTGCGTGACTATGCTATATGTCCAAGAAACATAAGTGTTTGCCTATGAAATAAAACACAAAATGTGTGCAAAATTGCTGAATATACAAATGTAAAAGCCAAAACTCAGAAAAAGGAAGACATCCAATATCAATTTAATAAAAAATTAAGTGAAATTTCATCCTGTGAGATTAAGTTGAATCAGAATCCTCAAAAAAAAATATTGTGAAGAAATCCAAAAAAGTGCTGTTGTGCAAAAATCAAACTCTACCGTGATCAATCCACACCACATGATAACCCAGGGCACTCCAGGTACTCGCCGCCAACCTCTAAAGTCCAGAAAATTGGGATTTTTGGGGGATTTCATTTTAGACATTTTTGTTTCGGTGACTGCAGCTTAATAGTATTAGGTTTTTCCTATTAGTTCAGACCCCTGTTTGTTTTTAATCAACCTCAAAATGTTTAGTTTGTATAACCAACCATGTAACATAGCCTGATTTCTCCAATTACTGCAAGGACTAGATACTTCAGTAGTTTCTGTGCAAGTAAAAAAAAAAGTGCATTTCCCTAGATGTTATGAAAGGATGTTGGCCGTGTTAGAAGATATTAGACATACAATAGTAACTATCCATTAGATCAGGGGTGTCAGTCAGTTTCATTGTGGCCACATTAACATTGTGGTTGCTCTCAAAGGGTCAGTTGTATCTGTAAGACTAAATGTCCAGGGCACCCCACCCCACTTACATCAGATGTCAAGAGCCTCCCATCCTCCTCTACATCAGAGTACACCCCCTTAATTTGTGTTACTACCAGTAGGTAGAAGCTGGGGCAGAGCTGGGAAACAGTGCAAGGTATGGAGGAGGACCAGAGGAGGGCTGGAGTTCGCTGCCAGAGTCTGCTGAATGCTGACACAAGAGGAAGTGAAGACGAGGGGGTGCTGCGACTGCACAGAGAGGTGCAGGATCTGTAGGAGGAGTTTCGTCATCCTCTCTGCTGACTGCTGAGATGGGGGGGTGCTCAGAGATGAGCCTCTCTGTAGCTGCATGGAGAAAAGCAGAATCTAAAGGAAGAGTTCTGTCCTCCTCTCTACTGCCGACTGCTGTGAAAAGGTGTGGGCAGAGAGGAGGGGGGTACCGCAGATGCAGGAAAGGCGTGAGGGCTACATGAAATGGCTTGGGGGGACTTGTGTTTGACTCATGTGCATTAGATAATAAGGGCATATTCACACCATATGCGTAGGTTGTGTTGGGCAGGCTCCAGACTAAAAGAAATGAGAATTCTTGAAGAATCTTTCTGGAATTGTTGCAGTTGAAAGATGACTAATGTAGTTGTGTTGTATAATAATGAAAAGCTTGTGAATTTATATTCCCAGTAAAAACAAGACAAGTTGTATATTTTTTTTTATTTTAATATTACCAAAAATAGCTGTAGCATAATCATGTTTTATTCTTCTACAGGGCTCCCGTGGCAATAGGTGTGGCCACTATGTCTACAAAAGACATGCTGGCTTCAGGAATGAAAGGCAAAGGTTTCAACATTTTGCACACCTATAAAGATCAGCTTTGGTAAAAAGGTTATTTTATCTGTTTGTGTCTGTCTGGTTAAATGAGACTATAACATTTTTTCTTGTGGTATGCTGAACCTCAAGCAGGCACTCGTAATAAACTGCCAACTCTTTTCTTGTTTGTTAATGCAGTGTGAACAGAAATATAGGAAAATGATCTTATGCTTGATTTATTTTGTAATGTAATGATATTGAGAATAAGGTAGAAGAGATATTCTAGTGAAGGTAACATGAATGATTCCTTCACTTCTGTTCCCTTTTGTCAGTTATGCAATGGGGGTTATTTACTAAAGCTGAACAGTGCAACATCTGGTGCAACTCTGCATAGAAACAATCAGCTTCCATATTTTATTGCCAAAGCTTAATTTAACAAGCTGAAATTAGAAGCTGGTTGGCTACTATGCACAGCTGCACCAAATTCTAAGTGCTCCAGTTTTAGTAAATCTACCCCAATGCACAGTTCCATAATTGGCACTAGCGTGTTGTAAATGTAATTTTGTTACTCTCAGTCTTGATATTTATAGTGGGGAGTTTCTAAATATTTACAGCCCTCCACATATATTACTAATTTGGACAATGACATTTAAAAAGATCTGCTTTTTTACTTAAGTGTTTTTATCTACAAAACTAATTTTCAAGTGCTAGGCATTTAATTTTCTACAATTTCTGACATTTAAATGTTGTGTTAGGGCTTATGGTGACGAGTCATGTCCTCCTAACATTCCACCAGAGGAGATCGAGGTTGCATCATCTGCAAACTGGAGGAAGGGTCTTTGGACTCAGAAAGCCCAGCTTGTATCACAGAGTTGGAAAATCTGCACCTGGAGGAATTTGCAGCAACAGCCCAGCAGGAAGGTGGAGAAGTAAAAGAGAGTACTGAGACATTAGAGGAAGAGAAAGTAGGAATATCCGATGTGGAGAACTGCAGTACCTCCTCACAAGGTTGTAATATTTCTGTTTATTTAAACAGCTGTCTGGACAGTCCACATACTGTATACTGTAGCATATAATTTTGACAGACTTTACTTGATTAGGTATATAAATTATGTGTTTTATTCATGATGTTGGGCTCTATGTACAAGTCTACTTGTTTACATACTGGGATTAGTACAGCTACTGCTGTACTTCTGGGCTACTCAGATGTTCGTGCTGCAGGTCACATAGACCCCAGTGCAGCAATTGTCTCTACCTCTCTCTCCTCCTGGCCATTCACATAATTAAGCCTAGGGCAGTTTTGTGAATGGTCGGCAGGAGAGGGAGGCAGAGACATGATCTCAATGCTGGGGTCTTTGAGATCTGCAATGGTTACATCCAAATGGTCCAAAAGTACCTTTTTGAAGCTGTATTATTCCCAGAATTTAGGATAATGCATTTTCTGGCCAAGGAAAAGAACCTGCCGAACAGTAGGCTATTTCTTAGACAAAGGAATGTACAGCTGCTTCAACTCTGGAAAGTTTGTGTTTGGAGTTGGGCTTTAACTACAAGTACACAAAAAGATTTTACACATGCTGTAAATTTATTTGTCCCAGCAACCTCTGAAAAATGTCACTATAATTGCCATATAATTTTTGTTTTCGGCAACCTGGTAGTGGGTATCTTAGTGTCTTTTGTGGAGCCAAGCCTGAGGGATTTGACATTTGGCTCAATACAGTGCAGATTTCTCATCTTTTAAAGCTGAACGCCAGGAATTAAGCCACTTTGTAAGATGTGCTAGCATATTATAAGTTAAGTCAAACAAGGTGTATGCCACCTTGTGGAGTTATCTCTTTAATTTTTTATGGAGCTCTGGATGTGCAGCTATCACTATTCTATGGGAGAGAAACTGGCTTTTCTCATACACAGCAACTCTGCCTGACTCTCCCCTCAGCTGTTAATTCACAAAAGCCTTTGTATCCTGTGAATGAGTTCAGTTAATACAAAACACTTTGTGATTGGACTAAAGGATGTGAGGGGTGGGCACAGCTGGTGCATGCAATTTTGCAGCCTTAGGAGTTGCGACCAGAGGGTCCAGTGTTGAAATGCCAGAAGCACAATGATTGTTCTGGTCCTGTGTCTTGATGAAAACTGTAAATTAAGGAGTCCATGAGGTGGAATGCACTTTGCTGGACTCAACCCCTACTAATCCAGCACATTTTACAAAGCAGCTGAATTCCCATAGTTACGCTTTAAACACCTTGGAATCTTGCCTAGGAACAACTGTTTTACAGCAAAGAGGGAAACACGAAAAGGGCAGGTCCATGCTGCCCAAACTAAGAATTAGCTTAATAAAATATTAGCCATCATGCTGGCATCTTTTCAATAAGTTTGGCCTTAATTCAAGGCTGTTAAGGTGGTGAGTTGCGGTATGTGTCTATTTAGAGCAGCCTTTCTCAACCGTGGTGCTGCCTGAGGTTGTCAGGGGTTCCATGATATCCTGGTTGAGAAAGAGGTGTTGATCAAGCTCTCATTGTACAGTTCGTAGCGCCGCTGGTCCCCTATAGATAGATAGAGCGCAGAGTTCTGAATTCTGTATCATAACATTGGGAGTTCAATCAGAGACGAACAGAGCAGTCGAAGGGAGAGGCATCTTCCTGAGTCCTGATCTCTCCACCTGCAGGGCATCAGTGTAAACAAATCATTCCCCCAGCAATGTGAGTGCAAGTACAGTTTGTATTTAGGTCTGTACATTGTTTGTAATCCTGAGCCCTATTCTGTAGATAAAAACTGAAAAACTAAGCTAGTGGGACTGCTTTTTTTTTTTTTTTGGCTGTTTCACAATAGCTGCAAGGACTGCCACTCCTCTGAAAAGCAATCTATGCTAAGACCACTTTTTAGAGGCATTTGACAGGGGGTGAGGAGGTGATATTTAAATGCAGCACCACTGTGCTACAGCCACATGCAATGCACACGTTTGTGAGGCAGTTGCAGCACAGCCCCATTTACCTGAATGGGTCATGTTCGGTCGGCAGTAGTGCCCACTGAACGCAGCAGGGGATATAATAGCTGCTGCAGCATGTGTACAACCCCAGTTGCTGTCTCTGCAGCTAAGGCGGGAAGCAGCTGAGGGTCGTAAAAACACAGCTCAACCAAGTGCTTTTACTGTCCCCAACCTCATGTGTGAATAACCCTTAGACTAGGGTGCATTGAGACTACAAATTTTAAAGGGTGCCCTGACTGGAAAAAAGGTTGTCACTCAAAACATTGGTTTAGAGTGGCAACAGAGAAATTTGATAAGAAATGTAGCTAAAGTTTAAAGATCCATTTTACTGCAGTTGAATAAAATGCCAACATGTTTTGGGGTTAAAGGCCCTCCTTTTTTATTAGGGTTTCAAGTCTTGATAGAAAAAAGATAAAACAATTGTTATAAATAAATATTAATATTCAGATAGTAAAGTTTAACAGAATCTCTCCTTTATAACAAAACAAAACACAGTCTGTCTTTATTTCAGCTTTTGTTTATTTCGTTTATTTCAGTTCGTTTATCGGCCGATTTTTCGTCCGAAAGAATAATCCGCCGATTTTCGCACTCATGGCTGATTTTCGCGGTTCCTCCTCATTTTGTTTATTGGTCATGCTGGAAAATTTGTGAAAATCGGACGATTTTCGCAATCATTGGTGGCAACATCGGTTTACAGAACGAACAATGTTTTGTTTTTCGGATGAAAAATCGGCCGATAAACGAACCGTCTATGGCCTGCATTAATCTCATACAAAGTTGTACAAGCTAGGACCTGGGTGATTCCGTGAAAGTTGGCTAAAGAATAAAGTGTGGCGTAAAAGGCGCTTCATTCAGAACAGAGACCAGTCACTAGTGGTGTACCACAAGGCTCTGTAATAGGTCCTGTTCTGTTTATTCTGTTTGTATATGATATAAGTGAAGGTTTGGTGGGTAAAGTATATTTTTGTTGTTGACACAAGGGTGTGTAATAAGGATGATATTTCTGGAGGTGTTTGGTAACATGTTGTGTTGTAGCGTTGCCGAATGAGTGGTCAAGGCACTGGAAACCATGGTTCAGTTTTTTTTTAATTGCAAAATAAATACATTAAAGCAAATTTTCACATTCATGCACAGTGTTGACCAGAACTACAGAATAAAAGATTTGGAGTGCCTATTTCAGATAATTGAAAAATTATTTTTCCATGTGGCCAGGCAGCAGGTGAATCAAACAAAATAATGAGGTATTTCACTAGAGACTTTAGAAGGAGGAAAGAGGAATCGGAATACTGTGTCCTGTTCTGGAGCCTCAAAAATGTATTAATATTTAAGAAGTGGTGAAAGATCTGGGGGAAATAAAACATATTGGAGAGACTGGAGGAACTTAATATAAACAGCCTCAAGGAAAGAAGGGAAAGAGGGTACATTATTGAAAGCTTTAAATACATCAAGAAGATGATAAGGTTCTCGAGGGCAGTATTTTCATTATGAAGCAAAGATTAAGATCACAGGGACGTGGCCTCAAACTAGCAGAGAAAGGTGAAAACTAACCTTAGACTTTCTTGAATGGACTATATGCGGACTTCTTTACTTGTTTTGTGCACTGATTATTTGATTGCACGCACATGGTGGTGGATTTAAAATTAAAAATGTTATTTATTTATATATATTCATATATACATTTTTTTTGGTTTTAGGGATGCACTATTATTTGTGATTGTTTGGTTTATCACATATTTTTATTAACCTTAGAAAGGGTTTTTACCAAGAGAGTAGTTGATGCTTGGAGCAGATATTCAGCAGAGGTTGTAAGTCGGTCAATAGTAAGTGAATTGATATAAACCTAGATCTATACAAAAAGGTTAAAGAAAAAAACTGTCAAAAGTCTTGATGGACCACTTGGACATTTTCTGCTGTTACCCTTCTATGTAAATGTATATTTGACATATTCATGTCTAATTGAAAACTGTGTATATCTTAGTTATTATTGAGAAAAAGAACTAGGCAGACTTGTACATTAATATCAACAAAATTTAATGATGGCCCATCTGAAACCAGTCACACATTTGTTGGTAAGGCTGAATTACCTGACCTTTCAATGTTTCAGAAACTGGGTATGTCTTTTTTTTTTTTAATTAATTAATTGATTGATTGATATGTGCTAGTCATAGGTATGCCAATCATTAAACTCTAATCCAAATATAACTCTACCCAGATGCCAACTTTATGTTGTAATCTATAGCAACTATTCTTATATATAATTTGTTTCTTCAGTGTGCTAGTGTGGCCAAGATAATGGAATCTTTTTGTTTTCCTGCAGATGTCTGTATTTCGTGCTTTAAAATGTTAAAGACCATATGTACATACTGTATACTGTATTATCTTTTAAGCAGTTGTGAGATGCTGCTAACCATAGAAATGAAAAGAGTTAAAGCGGTTGTAAAGGCTCATGGTTTTATACCTTCATACATTCTAGGCATGAAGGTAAAAACTAACTGTGCAGGCTTTTTTTTTTATTTCAAAAAAAAAAAAATCTGCAGCTTTTATTAAAAGAACAACTGGTGATCTACTTTGAAGCCCGTCAGGCTCTTCATTTCATAGGAAGTGACAGTTGTCTTTTGTTGTCACCCTTGTAGAGACCACATGACCATGCCAGCCCAAATTGTGCAAGTATGGTTCACTGTTCTCTCTAAGAAGGAAAACTTGCTCAGAGAATATGTGCAGACAACGTGGGAGTCAGTGCATGCATGTAGACAGAAAGCAGCTGAAAAAGGCTTGGTGTAGTCATCTGCACTGAGATGCATAATGGGCTTAGAAAGGGAAAAGATAGTCTTTTCTGGAAACAAATCAGTTTGATTCACTGCCAACTAAACATCATCCAGTAAGAATTTTAGATGTAATTTTAACTTCATTATATTCAACTGTATTACTTTCACTGATCCATAAAAGTTGTTGTACAATTTAGATCTTCTTTAACTTCGTTATGATTGCTATGTATTACATTCACTGACACACAAAAGTTGTTGCTGAGCTATGTTGGATACTGAGATGCATGATAATCCTTTTCTATTCCACTTTTTGTTTGCTTGTGAGTCCATATTCCTTTTTAACTGTGGCATTAAAAAATTATATTTTGATAGATGTTTATCCATTTTTGTTACATTTTAGAAACCATGGATGACTTGCTACACCAGTGCTTTTTTCATGCATTGAAGTATAAAGTGAAGAAATCAGACCTTCCCCTTCTTACAAGCACATTTCTTAGGAATTACCTCTTTGCTTGTTGGTGAGTTCTAGGTTCCCTTCACCCTGTGTCCATGAATCTATATTGTGAATATACTGTATGTCAAATGGATCCAGATCATGCTAGGAATCAACATCCTGCCAGCTTGGATGGGTCATCCAGGACGAATGTAGTAGTAGGTGGGGTTTTTTCTGCTAATTTGAATGGTGGTAATGGTGATGACAACTGTGGTACAGAGGTAATTTGTCACTGATATATAGTGCAGTCTGCAGTTTTTCCCATGTTTTAAAAGATCCTTAGTCTTTCTCTTTTAACTGTCCACGCATTTAGCTCAACAGTTTATTAAGTCAGGAATGATAAATTTCAAGGTATTTGCCTTACAAAAATCATTAAAGATGGGCATTTTTTTTTTTTAATAGCTCCACAACCACATCTTACTTTGCCATTTCAAAATATGCTTCTTTTTTGTGTAAGATAAGTTATTGATTTACCTGAACTTTTTAGACCATTGTAATGCTCTCTGATTCAATGCTTTTTTAGGTTTTTTAGGTTTATAACAGACAAAGTGATATTTAATAGCGTTTTCTGATACCAGTTGGAAGGTATTGCTCTCTCATTGATTGCAGTCCTTCTGCAACTCAGAGGTTTTGGTGTGCCGTGTATGTTTTTCTGCAAGATTAGCACTATTTACATTCACCAATTTAACATAAAATTTAACTTAATTTTCTTGTCTAGAACACAGTTTTGTGCAACTGTGACACATTTATAGGATGTATTTAAAAGATAGGAATAGCCAAAGATTCTTTCGTTATACTGTTGTGGGTCACTGGAATACCCTTATCTTTGTTCTCCTGTGACCCAGAGATCCACCACTCATGGTTGACAGCTGGCTCTGGCTCTCATCATGCAGCTGAGATTGAAAGCCAGCTGTGCCCGCAACACCCATCCTCCCACCCACCGAAGCCACATTCTCCAGTGAGCGCTGACTGTCACTGCTCTCTGCGAGCCTTGGAGCAGACTTAGAACTGAGCGACCATGTAATGACTCAGTTCTCGATCTTGTCTTAGTGCCAGCAAGGACAACTGCATCATCGCACAGATGCTGCAGCATGGCGGTGAGTATGTAGAGTTATTTTTTCAGAAGTCCATACTTTTCCTTTCATGCAACTAAGGCTAGTATAGTGGTGAAATAAAACTTGAATTTTCAATGTATTCTTTTGTATAGAAATATTTAAAGAATGTGATGATCTTGTAATTTGTGTTTATCTTTAGCCCTGAAGGACAGCAAGTGGATATTAAAAAGTCTAGCTACAAAAAGGTAATATGGTTTATTAACTTTACATTTTCCCTGCTGTCCTACTCTAGTAACCTAGTACTTACTGAAGTTTAGGTGCAAGATATGTGGAAAAATCAAGATATCTAAAGTTATGTTTTATCTTGCAAAAAAACTAAACACTGCACTGAGTGCAGCAACAAATACAAAACATATAATGAAATGTGTGCACAAATAATACCAATAACAGCAGCACTCACATGTATCTGAATATGTAGATATCAGCAATGTGTTGAGCTGTTGTGTCTATGTAAATCAAGCAAAACAACATATGTGAAACAATAAAATCCACTTGAAAAGAGTCTCATAGTGATTTATATGAATACATCTATTTGTGAGATCAACCTTTTAAACCTATTTCACCAACCACAGTGTCACCACGACCATATCAACAGGCTTTCCAGAGCCTAAGACCCCACATTAGAAGAAGTCAAGTAGTGCTTGCAATCTGACATCAGAGCAGATGGTACAAAGTCTTGCACGGCAGGATGATGATGGTCCTACAGTGCAGCATCAGATATTATGGAAATCAATCTTGTGCGTAAAAAGGAGAGGAGGGGGCCACACAGTGTAGAAAATTCAAAACCACCTTAATAAGAAGCCTGGTGTGTACTCGGCTAAGCAGAGGCCAATGAACACGGGGTACAACAAATGCTGGTCAACTGAGCTGGTGTGATGACGTCACCGCTAGTCCCCGCACTGACACATTTCGTTCCACAGAACATCCTTGGAGAGATGCCAGAGTTCTACTTTCTAAACTTCGATTTTTTTTTTTTGTTAATCAGAAAGTTTATTAAACTTTCAGATATACAATACTCAAATTTACTACAACTGCTGTCTGGGGAAAAAAAAAAAAAAAGGTTCCTCCATCCACTCAAGCGAGGTACATGGAGCAATGCCACCTGCTGGGACATTGCAGTCTGACAGCAGGACCTGTTTCTGTCAGAATAAGACTGATCAGTGGCTACATCACTTGATCGAGGAAAAAACTCCCGCATATCTCTTTGACATAAGTCATTCACACATCCACTTCTGTTGAGTAGGAGCAGCCACACACAAACTGAAATGTGGCTGGTCCCTTCTGAATTGGCCAAATTTCGATCAGTGTATGTGTCACGTACCTGATAGAAGTCTGAATTGACGAGGTCAGCCTCTCTTGTATCTCCAACCCAGACCCCACTGAAGGTGAAACAGATGGTGCTGAGGGACAGGAGGAACACGAGTTCCTGCGGATATTGATTGTGGACCTTGCAGCTGGTGATGTATCCTCGGTAAATCAGATAGGGCATCCAGTCAGGAACAGAGGAGATGCCGGAATGGCAAGCTGAGGTTAAGGAAGCACTCCACTGGAACTGCAAGAGCTGGGTACGTGGTTCACCAGAACTTCTGATAAGCGTGAGGCCGGAGCACACCGTGACAACTGGAGCTGATGTAATGACAGCCAGGACAGGCACTCGGCAGGACTGTAGAGTCAAAACTGGAACCAGAAGCATAGTCGGAGTAATAGCCAGGGTCCGCAACAAGCAGGCAATGAGGTACCGGAACATCAGACAGGGACATGGTCAGGAGGAAGCCAGGATCAGAAACCGATGAGCAGAAGCATAAACAGGATCCAAGAGCAGGTTAATGGCAAGCCGGGTCAGTAACTGATATACACAGGATACAGCAGGAAACAGGAAGTTAGCTGAAGACCAGTCAGTACTGACAGAGAGTAAGAGCTTCCTTTAAATAGTCTGTCTGGAGCCAGAAACAGTGGGCACGCTCCCGCGTGTGTGCACCCGTGTGCGCGCATGCGCGAGCCTATGCTCATTTCTATTAGCCAGTTGCCGTACAGGAATTCCCTTACAGTATGGCCAGCTGCTTAACTCTAAATGCTCTCCTGTGCTTGGAAAAACTGTCCCTAGTGAGCGGGTTACTCCATTCATAGTGAACCTCTTGTTTCATAATAGCAAATTCTATGGTAGCATGGAGAAGTTTAACAGCAAAGATGAACCACCCAGCTTTAGAAATTTGATTAGTCTGCAGTAAAGGTAATCTGTTATACAGGCATATTGCAGGGCTGATGGTGTCATCTAAGCACTTATTTGTAACGTATTGGGGCAAAATGAAAATGCTATTATGGATCTAGGTTGATAAATCATATTTTTGACATCTTTAAAGTAAATTTGAGCTTTCCAGTGGCTTGTCATTTTTATCTAAAACATGATGTACAAACAAAATATTTGTGGTATGGTATGTTGGATGGAATCTGCCCCAATGACAGAGGAGGTTATTTAGAGAAGGCATTTTAGAAATGTGAGTGTTGATGGATTCCTAATTCACAGTCCTTTAAATATCCAGGCTATGAACTTTGCATGCTTCCTTTTAACATGGCTTGAGTCTTGTCTTCTTTCTGTTACATAGTGTTTGAAAGTTTTTATGAATATTCTTTGTGCGTGTCTTTATATACTTCTAACATTTATGGCATTTATGTAGTTATACATTGTATTGTTTATAGAAAACAGACTTCTGTGCTTACAGGGATAGATTAGATAATCTAAACACAGCTAAAAAAAGATGTAAATGCGCAAAAACACAAGTAAACATAGATAAAGCAAATACGTCTACATGTAAGAGAACCTAATTTGGGAAGCATAAAGTTTCTTTATACTTTCCAGATAATGTCTCCTGCATTTAGATAACCTAAACACAGGAGTGCTAGTGTGAATATAGCCTTCAACATATAGTATGTTGCAAGAATGATTTAAGAATTATTTAGTAGCGTTTAAAGGATAAGTTCACCTTTTGTAACATGTTACCCATATTCAGGGTGTAATATGTAATGTGTTACTGTTGCAACAGCCCCCGCACTCCCCCCCCCCCCCCCCCCCCCTGTTGTGACAATGTGTGGGGGATCTATCTCTTGCACTCACTGTCACAGTTTTAAAACAACATGGCCGTGCTGGGCTCTGGTTACTCGGCCCCCTCGTTCATTCACAGAGTTCTGTGAATGGGAGAACTACAAGCACTGACAGCCTTTATTGCTGCTGGCTTGTACTTAATGAACTACCAGGGTGCTGTTGCACGCTCTAGGTAGTTAATTGATGTTTCCTGTCAGTGATTAACTGTCTGCCCATATGAGGTATGAACAGACCGCTTACACTGACAATCTGCAATGCCTTGCTCCTAAAAAAAAAAAAAAATAATAATTTCACATTGTTTTACCTGCAAAAAGATGTGCATTTCTTTATTTATTTACAAAGGTGAACTTATCCTTTAGACCTGTTCACGCTGAATGTGAGATTACAATTGTGTTTTTTCACTTGATAGCAGAGCGATTTCAAAGCCACAGAACAGTGTGGTTGTACCTCTGATATTCACAACGGCTTGAGCAGAATTCAAAGCAAGTTGTAATGAAATCAGAAAAAAAAAAAAGTAGTGCAGGAACTATTTTTGAAATCACGCTACTTCAAATTACACTGATTAAGACCGTGCCATAGAAATATATATTAACCCGGTGTGAACCAGGGATTAAAGTAATATTAAAGCCAATTTTGTTTTGTATTAACCACTTCCAGTCCCCATATGAATTTTTTAGCATTTTTTTGAGACAGATAAAGCTTTATTTTGGTGGTATTTATTCACCACTGGGATTTTTACTTTTTTTGCTAAGTAAATGAAAAAGTCCAAAAATTTTGCAAATAAATAATATTTCATCATAAATCTTGGCCAACATTTATTCCGTTTTTTTAGTAAAAAAAATAACCCAGATTAGTTTTATAACCAAAAATTATAATGTTTAAACATTTTTTTTTAACATTTTTTTTTTTTTATTATTTATGGGTTTTTGTTTTTTTTTTAACATACTGTCACCCTAGCAGTGTAGTGTCACCATGATGACACTGTTCTACTTGTGGGGGTGATTTTTTTTTTTTTTTTACACTGATTGCTTTTACACCCATAAAGGCGGTAAAAGCAATCATTTCTCTTTCTCTCTGGTTGCATTCTTGCAGCCATTGAAAACTACTGTGTGAGCTGTGATTGGTCACATATTTGTCACATGGTACAAGGCTGTTGTGAATGGCCTTGTACCATGTCACCTCTGTGACCATTCACAGATTTCACACGTAGTAAGCAATGATGTCAGAAGTGACATATTGCTTACTACTCTGCATGTGATCACTGATTGGCTGAGGGTTTCCATTGTGTCCGGAGGACACAGCGGGCATCGGATCGCGGTGCTGCATGCTCCCAGGGAGCGAACACAAGCAGGGGGCGGGGAGGCTGTTTATAAATGGCCACCCAACCCTGCACTGCCACCGTCTGGCCGTTTATATACAACGGCCGGACGGGAGGTGGTTAAAATAATTAAAAAAAAAAAAAAAGTTATTCTTACCTGCTCCGTGCAATGATAGCACTGCTGTAGACAGGAGAATACTCGGGTAAGTGTTTGGGGGCACCAAAAGTAATACATTTTTTTTTTTTTACCTCTAATGCAGGGAATGCATTCAGGTAAAACATTTTCTGACTTTAACATCTTTGATAAACATGGTTCTAAAGTGATTAGTATTTTTATAATTCTGATATCGGTGAGACATATTCCATTATTGCCCGATATTATCTCTGTAGTTTCTAGGTAAACCGCAAATTCCTCCTTTGTAATCTAGTGCAGAGGTCTCCAGACTTTGTAAACAAAGGGCCAGTTTACTGTCCTTCAGGCTTTATAAGGGTTGGACTGTGGCTAGTGGGAGTAGGAGATGCCCTGACATCAGTGGGAATAATCAATGCCTCATCATTGATGTCCGTGGGAGGAATTAGTGACCCATTGTTGGTATCAGTGGGAGGATTAGTGCCCCATCGTTCATGTCTTTAGGAAGAATAGTGCCCCATAATTGGTATCAGTGGGAGAAATATTGCCCCATCATTGATGTCTATGGGAGGAATGGTTCTGTATCATTGGTGTCAATGGGAAGAAAAGTGCCCCATGGTTGGTTCAGTGGATGGGATGCTGCTTGAGGGTCGAATAAAGGCAAGTAAAGGACCACATTCGGCCCACAGGACTCACTTTGTAGACCACTTGAGTAGTGTATAGATTGTATTGTTATAAAAGTGCACAACATTTTTTATTACAGTGGCATAGATATATGTATTTGGTTTATCTTGGAGAAGCAATGCATTTCTTTTTTTGTAAAGATTAATTTAAGGTTTCTTTTTGATCTTAGTCTCCTTGGCGGTATTCCCAAGTGTAGCTCGGGGTAAAGTTTCAGTACCACAAGCGGTAACCCCGAGCTACACTCGGGAATACCATGCGGCGCTGCACCGCGATCCCTCGATCACTTACCTTGTCCTGTGCTCCCACGATGTCCCTCCTGCAGTGTCCCCGGCAATGTAATCCGGCGGATGCCGGCATCTGTCTTCTGGGTTCCATCCCCTGCAAGCGTCGGGGGACGGAACGGCAGGAAATGAGAAAATAACAAAAAGTGACATTCACTAAAATCACATAGTAAAACATTACTGTATCAAACCATTTCACATACATTTTGTCCCTAGTGCTTTGTCCTGTCCCCTGCCTGCATGTTTACTGTTCTTTCTGCCTGGAAACTGAGAAACGTCCATGGCATCCAAAAAGCGTCCCTTTAGGTCAAAAGTGGTTTTAGACCAGCTAGAGAACAGCGATAGTAAATCAGAACCACTTGCAGAATTGAGTGATAATGATTCGTGGGGAAATTCGTCATCAGAGACTAAAAACAATTTTGCGAATTTGCTCAGTGATGTGCGAACTTGGCGCTATATTTCAAATTTCAGAGTTTTTGGTTTGATTATATTATTGAATTAAATGTATTATTATTATAATATTATTATTTTTTAATGATTATTTATTAAATTATAATTTATGATTTCGTGTTTCAAGTTTTATCCTACCCGGGATGTTTACTAGACTCTTGTTCGGACAGATTTCAGTGAGTTTTTGTTCCTAAAAATTACTGGCCTACAATATAAAATGCCAAATTTCCATGCAAAATAAAGGTACCGCTTTAAGCACCACAAATCTGAAATAATCATACCGTCAGGGAGGTTAATGGATTCTTCATATCATCTTTGTTCAACTAGTGGACATATTTTATTAAGTCTTCTTCACTAATATTTATTTTGTCCTATACCAGCTGTCGAAGTTTCTACAGGCCATGCAGCAACGTAACATCTTGCAGGTGAAGGAGCTTAGTAAAGGGGTAGAAAGCATTGTTGAAATACACTGGAAGCACCCAGAGTAAGTACAATTTATATCAGTCACTGTTCATTCTTCACATGAATAGGCACACTATTATAACTTTAAGGCCCCATGTACACAGGCTGTTTTTTATTTTTTTTATTTTTTTTGCTCCCCTAGACATCTTTGCACCATGGGAGGAAAAAGCACAATTAAAAAACACTGTTTTGTAAATGCGTATTAGGCGATTCAAGCATTTGGGCATTCATTAATTGCATTGGCCAAAATATTCATTTATTCAGGCCATTGGAAAGAACGCTCAAGTGCTAAATGCGTCTAGAGTTTAGGCATGTCTACCATTTTTAGTCTAAAAAAAAAAAAGTAAAAAAAGTAAGACTTGCCCTGTTCAACATGTGAGACTAGAAGGGTAAAAGCCTAAGAAAGAAAACTAGGACTGCAGGCACCACGTCTAAGAATTAGTATGCTGCAGTATATTACATTATTTATTTATTATTTTTTTTTTGCTGCTAAATACTCCTCTGAAAATATGCCTGTAAACTCCTTAACCACTTGCCCTCCTGAGGATTTACCCCCCCCCCCAGGCCCCCCCCTTTCCTAACCAGGCCGTTTTTTGCGTTACGGCTCTGTGTTATTTTAACTGACAATTACACGGTCATGCAACGCTACACCCAAATGAAATTTACGTCCTTTTTTTCCCCACTAATCGAACTTTCTTTCAGTGGTATTTGATCGAATGTGCGGTTTTTTTTTTTTTTTTTTGGTGTTTTTTTTTTGTGCTAAAAAAACACAGACAATTTTGAAAAAAAAAACAATATTTTTTACTTTTTGCTATTAAACATGTCCAGTAAAAAAAATCAAATTTCGTCATAAATTTAAAAAAAAAAAAAAAAAAAAAAATCCCAATACGTGTAAATTAATTGGTTTACGTGAAAGTTATAGCGTTTACAAATGGCGGTATAGATACTGGATTTTTTTTTTTTTTTTTACTAGTAACGGCGATCAGAGACTTATAGCGAGACTGCGGCGGGCATTCTGACACTGGGTGGAACTGACTTGGTGTCACTGACATTCCCAGTGACACCAATACAGTGATCAGTGCTCTAAAAAAAAAATCTGACACTCTACTAATTGCACTGGGCAGGAAGGGGTTAACATGAGGGGCGATCAAAGGGTTAACTGTGTGCTGGGAGTGTTTTACTGGGGTGCCGTGTCAGTGCGCTTCACTGTAAGCACACTGCTCTGGATGGCTGTGTAGTAGAAGAATCCGTGTGCTTAGCTGGCCTGCCTGCAGTCCAGACCTTTTCACTGAAAATATTTGGCGCATCTTGAAACAAAAAATACAAAAAAGAAGACCCAGTACTGTTGAGCAGTTAGAATCCTGTATCAGGCAAGAATAGGACAATATTCCTCTCCCAAAATTCTAGCAACTGGTCTCCTCAGTTCCCAGATGTTTACAGAATGTTGTTAACCTCTTCACATATATAAAGCCTCTCGGCAGGTGGGGTTTCTCACCAGGGGGCTGCATATAGGCACAAACAAACTGGCAGCCATCCCAATCTGTAACTGGCCTATGCACCAAGTAGCACAAGGAAGGGCAACGCATGTCAAAGCCAGCCTGCAACAAACCAAATTACCCTGTCAAATAGTTCACGTTAAAACAAGGGGTTTATTTTGCACACATTTGCAAACATATGCATAAACTGCAGAGGCCACTTAATGGCACTTCAGTTTATCTGCAGTTCTAACTATAAATTTTGAGAGCCTATATATGCACCTATATGTAAAATGTTTAAGTGCTGCGAGTGTGCTTCCCAGTACAGTAACGTGTCACGGAAAGGTGAACTTTACTCACCTGGTGAACTTTACTCACAACAGTTGATAAAAAATAATGTCCTTTAGCAAGGAACATGCATTCCACACTAATAATTATGCTACCAAAATTATTGTGTGCTGTAAATTGCCTCTAGCATTGTTCCTGTTTCTTTTTGCTGGAGGATGCCATTTTATTGAAGCCCTGAGCATCAGTTTAAGCAGAACTAAACCCTCCTATCCTTTTCAGCCAAGGAAGCTGCCATCTGTTTTATCTGCAACTGTCATGGTGCTGCACATATGATCACTTATAACACCAGTTGTTTGATTGTTTGAGGTTTGGGTGATAACACAAGCAAATGTGACAATTGGCGTTCCCGGCATGCCATGAATGTAACTGTTTTTTGAAACCGTTAAATCAAAAGACTGATGGAAACTGACACACAAATTTCACTTGCAGAGACATTAGTTTACATCAGTTTCCATGCGCACTTCAATGAGTTTTATACACTTTGCAGATTCCTGCACAGAAAAAAAAATCTGCACGTGATACTTGTGTTGTGGTGTGAACAGGGCACATAGAGAGCAATTGTTTTCATGGTGCCCTTGCAGAATGCATGCAGAAAAACTGATGTTTCTGGTGGTGTGAACAATCCCTTAATCTTTAGACTGTCAGTAGATCGGCCTCTACAAATTTGGCACAGTGCCTAAAAATGCCTAAAAATAGTGAGCAACTGAACATGCGCAGAGCAGGGTGAGACAGTGTATTCCTGGATTTTAAACCGTATAGGCACTTATTTTTAATGTTTTACAGAGCTATACCTGCAAAAGTGGGCCAGCATGAAGTGATCTAGCAAGACTTAATTTTTATGACTAAAGCTCCACTTTTATAACTCAACATTTATAAAGCAACTGTTACTTGACACACAAATCAACAGTAAAGAAAAAATATAAAAAAATATTGGTAACCTAAAGATATCAATAGTCTATCAAAAATATATCAACCCACCCCGCACAAAAAAAGTTCTAGTTTTGTGCCAAGTATTTTTCCTCCCAGTTCTCTGTTTTGCTGTTTTCAGCAAACCTTTACTTCCTACAGTAGAAGTTGCACGGTAACTGTGACTGTTCGTTGCCAGAGACCTTTAAAACTGTAGATTTAAAAAACTGAAACTTGCAGATGTTGATTTTAAAATAATCAGACGTACATCAATCCCTTCTAATTTGGTTTATAAGCGCCATTATTTAGAACACACATTGATCAAATTACTCTGCATGTGCATCTTTCCATAAAAGTACAGTTAAAAATCCTAAGCATCTTAGTTTTATTGTGACTCCTCTTTTTTTTTGGCAGTGTGATATCATTTGTTGCTCCAGAAACTGTTCTTCCATTAGAGACCTGTGAAACATCAGATGGTGGTCGAAAGCAGCCATATCAGCCTCCTGAAATCATCACTCTATATGGAATCAATGCAAAAATGCTTCCTTTGTTCCAGGCATCAGGGCATAGGTAAGCAACAGAAGGAGATAAGTTCGTGAGAGTAAAGCAGAGTATACACATATAGAAATTCGGCTGATTCAGAAATCGGATGAATTTCTGTACATGTGTACCCCTCTCTGTACAACAAAAGCTGGCTTCTGTCAAACAGTCCTTCTGGAAAACCATCATTCAATTAACACATGCAGCCAATAGCTGCAGCACTGATCAGTGTATATTGAAAGGTGCTGGGGAGTCCCCACTATCATAATTCAATAGCCTTAGAGAGGCTTGCATGGATTTGGAAAAGTTTCAGTTTTTTGGTTTTTTTTTTTCATTCAACTTTCTGGTTGAAATAAATAAAAACTGTCCATGTATAACCAGTGAAAGGTAGCCCACAATATAAAGCTAGCCATACACACATCAAATTTCACCCTATTCAGCAGGTTTCCCTGTCAATAATACCTGGATTGAGAAAAGTCGATATATTAACCCTTTCATGACGGATGGTAAAACAAATCATCATGTCTAAACACAGTTTTGCAGCTTTGACATGTGTTAGTAAAAACTGTACAAATCTCCACTACTTGGTGTACACAGGTGAATTTTTTTCTTTTCTTTTATTATTATTATCAAAGAAAAACTAACACAAAACAGTGAAAAGAAAACCTTTTTTTAAAAAAAAACCAAATATATATATAACTGTATATTACCATAGTCTACCACGAAAGAACAGCCCAACATGTCAACTATTGCAACATAAAATGTGTATGTTATTTCTTGTTGGTGCCTGTAGTAGAGCTGAGATACAATAGTTTACATTTTGCTTTGTTATCCTACCTAAAACGTGTGACACTAACTAGCACTGATGCTAACTTAAAAAATGCTTTTTTAATCCTACCTAAAACACACTGACCGTTGGTTCTGACCATGACCCTTGACTTTTCCTCGAACCTTGACACTGACCTAGATCAAATCCTGATCCAGCTATTTTATCTGAATTTGTTTAAAGTAAAGGTGCTGTTGACATGATATTTTCACCACACATCGATAACAACCTGTGCAATCCATACATACAAAGAAACCAAAACCAATAAGTACAGAAATTAAGTTATGTTTAATAAAATAAACCTTTTGCCTTTTCAAATATTTTTTCAACAAAAATATCACTAGATTGCCCCCTTTAGCAGGAATTCCTTTTAGGCATTTTGTATAACTTCCCAGCTGGCTCTCACTTCGATATCAAAAGTTTTGATCACCTCTTCATGCAAAATTTCTTCAGTTGCAAAATGTTTTTGGATTTCCTTTGTTAAACTGTCAATTACAAAATCCCGTTACAACAAATCAGGGCTTTAAGAAGGGCACTCAATAACACTCTTTTTCTTCTCTTTGAGCCAATATATGGTGGATTTGCTACTTTGCTTAAGATCATTATCATGGTAAGACTTATTTCGAGTTTACTTTGAAAGTGGCTGTAAACCCTCACCTTGTAAAATGACCCATTCAGTTTAAAATAGAAATTAAAGGCAAAACTTAAAACATAAATACATTTTCCCTTTTTTTTAATAAGTGATCACATTTTCTTTACATAAAAGCTAGGGGAGGAGAAACCGCTTCTCTGTGAATGGCTGTGCAGGAGAGGGGCCATGTCAGGACCAGTCTGATCATTGGAGAAGAGCACACTGAGTTCCCAACATAGTAGTGGGAGAACTGACCACAGTGTGTTCTCCTACTCAGTGTGGTCAGTTTTTAATAGGAAGGAATAGGAAGCAGAAGGGCTGACGGGAATACCAGAAAGCAATACAAAGAGAACGGGATACTTTTTCATAAAGATACACGAAGTGTTGGGTTTAAATATTCTTTAACGCTTGGATAGACTGCCTCGCATTAAGCACACTTTGATATGATGCAAAACATATGGTTTGCTTGATAACTGCAAGCTGCCCAGGCCCTGATGCAACAAAACAACACAAGCCATAACATTTTCACCATGCTTTATAGTTGGTATGCAGTTTTTTCTCCTGAAATGCAATCTTTGATCGGTCATTAGCACATTGTTACAGAAGGCCTACATGTTCATTTGCAAACTGTGGTCTTACAATAATATTATGACAATTGAGGTTTAAATAAGACCGGATACACCTGGATGCTCCCTAAATAGGGCCTAATTATTGGCACCCAGTCTGGAACACCTAGTTCTAATTCCTTTCTCTATGGCAAATATGCATATGAGGGGCATTCAAAAAGTTTGTGGAAAATCATTTTATTAAAAAAAAAATAAAGAAGTATTGTAATATCTGTTTATAGCAGAGTGAAATTGGACTCACAGTATGTAACAACATCTGCTTATTATGTGTTTTGAGAAAATTGGCTAAACCGCTAGCAAAAGTGTGCCATTGAAAGCTTCGGAGAGTCATTTTCCACCACAACTTTGCCCCTCCTCATTCCTCTTATCAGTGAAGGGCACCATTGTGAGAATTTTGGTGGGGAATCATTAGACATCCACCTTACAGTCCTGATTTATCACATTCTGACTTTTTTCTTATATCCTATCGTAAAACTTTTGAAATTTATCCACTTTGATACCAACAATGATATAAAAAAGTCTGCTTTGACATGGTTAAATTCACAGGACCCTCAATTCTTCCAGGATACTATAAATGGCTTGTATCATCACTTACAGAAGTGTCTTGATATGGATGGAGTTTATATAGAAGAATAAAGGTTATTCCTAAAATTGTGTGCTTTTGATTCCATTTTTCCATGAACATTAGAAAAGGATGATGTGTATCAACTTTATCTATGGGCACTATTTACAGACCTAATGTTTGTTTGTTTATATATGTGGAAAAAGGCAACAATATCCATGAGGTATGTTTACTTGACTGTGTGTCAGTTTGACATTAATGTTGCATGGAGATGAATTTTACCACCTGCGAGGAAGTGTAAAAATGTCACATGCAATTAACAATGACTGGCAAGGATGTGTGCAATGCATTGTGGCTGTACTCCCTCCAGACAGAGAATGATGTATGGAATGCATATGCTGCAACTAAATCCGGAAGCTTGCTTTATATTCAGTCTGTGAATTTAGAGCTTTCAGATGAAGTATAAACACACATTTATGCTTTATTAGGACATACAGGTACTGTATCCATTTATTTTACTGCGCACATTAGTTCTCGCCACACATATTGAACATTTGTGAACATTTTAAAGGACATTGTTTTGATGTGAAGCTAAGTAGATCAAATATTAAAGAATCTTTACATAAACCACTTGAACACCGGAAAGTTTTACCCCTTTTATGGTAAGGCCATTTTTGCTATTCAGCACCATGCTACTTTAACTTGCAATTGCGCGGTCATATAACAATGTATGCAGATAAAATTTATATCATTTTTTTCACACAAATAGAACTTTCTTTTGGTGGTATTTGGTCACTACTACTTTTTTCTTTTTTTACTATGTAAATATAAAAAGACTAAAAAGTTTGTTATAAAACATATCCAATAAAATCTAATTTCTTCATAAATTAGAGTTAAACAACCCCCACGTTGTCACAATGGGAGATGTGTGTTTTTATATTGATGTTCAATGTTTTAAATACAATTAAATATTATTTTCTAGTTAACCTCCCTGGAGGTATTCCTGAGTGTAGCTCGGGGTAAAGTTTCAGCACCATAAGCGGTAACCCCGAGCTACACTCGGGAATACCCTGCAGCGCTGCTCCGGGATCTCTTCTTCACTTACCTTGTCCTTCGCTCCCGCGATGTCCCTTCTGCAGTGTCCCCGGCAATGTCCTCCGGCTGATGCCGGCATCTGTCTTCTGGGTTCCATTCCCTGCGATGTCAGGACATATGGGGACGGAATGGCGGGAAATTTTAAAAATGTGAAAAAGTGACATTCACTAAATACACTAAAATAACATAGTAAAAACATTACTGTATCAAAGCATTTCACATACATTTTGACCCTAGTACTTTGTCCTGTGCCCTGCCTGCATTTCTACCGTTTTTTCTGCCTGGAAACTGAGAAACGTCCATGGTGTCCAAAAAGCGTCCCTTTAGGTCTAAAGTGGTTTTAGGCCAGCTAGAAAACATCGATAGTAAATCAGAACTACTTGCAGAATTGAGTGATCATGATTCATGGGGAAATTAGTCATCAGACACTGAAAACGATTTTGCGACTTTGCTCAGTGATTTGCGAACTTGGCGATATATTTCAAATTTCAGTGTTTTTGGTTTGATTATAGTATTGTATTGAATTACATTTATTATATTATTTTTTATGATTATTAAATTTATAATTTATGATTTCGTGTTTCAAATTTTAACATACCCGGGATGTTTACTAGACTCTTGTTCGGACAGATTTCAGTGAGTTATTCCTGAAAATTACAGGCCTACAATAAAAAAAACTACATATTTCCATGCAAAAAAAATGAACCGCTTTGAGCACAGAAATACTGACATAATCAGACCGCTAGGGAGGTTAATCAATTCACTTTAAAATCACTAAACAAATCTGTGATCGTATCCAGGTGTACTTTGCAAGAATAAAAGCTGTATTTTTTTTTTTCTCGTCTGTTAAGAACATAGGTAGTCTTTAAACCTGTGGTTTCTACTGCTACCTCCAGGAGGCAGTATAACCTGGGCACTGGGTTCTGTGTAAGCCAATTTCCAGACCCCGTTCTGCTAACAAGATAACCATGAAAAACACTTTTGAGGTCCAGAGCTCTCGGCATTGTCAGTTTATGAAGACTCTCCCTGGACCACCTTAAAAAATTCCCGCTCTCTGTCGGTTCTATCACAGATGGGGCTAACGCTGAGAAACTTAGCCCTGATGTCATGGGTGGAGAGTGACTCACATGGTCATTGCTCTTTTTCTTGCCATTCAGCTTAGGGGAAGCATTTCCCCACTACTGCTCCTGCAAAGAGCCACATGGAACTCTGATGTTTGGTCTATTCCTGATGCCCACCTACAGTAACCATGATCACCTCTGACCCTTCCTTACTACAAGCTGTTTCCATTTTGTGAGGCCAAGGCCTTGCCCATACTTCGCTCTCTAAGTTCCATGCTTTTACAGCCTTTCTTATTCTAGACACCAAGGGTACAATCCCGCCACACCATGTACCCTCAACTCACACTCCACTAACTGTTCTGGTGCTGCTTGCAGTGCGCCCAGTGATACAGCCGACATCTGCAGGAATCCTGTGGCTCTTGGACCCAAGGATCTTTCCAATATTCCCAACTCCATCTCTTATGGCTGATTCCATTGCTCTCTCAGCTGAAGTTTTAGCTAAAATCATGAATGACTTTAGCATCCAAATCACTCAATTATTTGCTAACTCTGACTACAGAGGCTGCTCCTTCCCCTGCAATATTTGTGACCATCTGCCCATGGCTTCAGAGACATCAGCTGCTGAGACTCTGTCCTATTCAGAGTCACTTCAGTCCTTATTGAACAAACTTGCCTCCAAGGAGTTGTGGGCTTCTGCCATAAATCCCACATTAAAGTAGACTATTTCAGCTCTTATTGATGCAGTGTGCACCACTTTGAAATGAGAGGATCTGCCTAATTCCTTTGCCAGTGCTGTCCCCACTCTTTGGTCTTTTAGAACCCCTAGGACTGAAAACACTTTCATAATGCAATACAGCATCTATGAAAATCATAGAATACATATTACATATAGGATAAGACGGCAAAGACTTCACCAAACAAAAAACAAAAAATAGTTGCTCCATTAGCACCACAAAAGATTTGAAAAGCAAATAAGAATTGCATCACATGGTGGTGGTCTGTCAGAGTCAGCATTTTTCATGCCTTCTGACAAACTGTAGGCCAGATATTATGTTGGTCTTACTTAACAGTTTAGTTTGCCACTTTCCTGTCAAGATGGGACTGGCATTGTAATCCTAATTTGCATTTATCCTTTGCATCTAGCACTGCTAAATTTTATGACTCCTGCCAATACTTTTTTGTTTACTTATATTTTTTTTTAAAGAATATTCCCTAGTATATATGTGTTCATGCACAATGCCACTTGTTATAGTGCAGGGGGTCTCTGAACATTTTAGTATGAGGGCTACTTGGGAATTTTACAAATATCCACAGTCCAAAAAAATAACAAGTTTTATTAAGAGTCACACCCACACCCCCTCCCCCCAACACCCAGGAGTGCCTATTAGAATCCCCTCTAACATCCAGGAGTGCCCATCAAAGTCCCCCCTTACATCCAGGAGCATTTATCACGGGAATTGAGAAGGGGTGGGTATGGCTGGCTCTCAGTGGATGTTCATAATATGATACACAGACCATTGCCAGCCATCTGGAGTGTTTTCATGGACAGTTGCTGTGAGCCAGATAAAATCTTGTAGTGGATCTCAGGCCATTTTTTGGAGACCATTGTTCTAGTGGATACCATCATTGGCATTTGCACTGGGTGAAGAAACCAGGACAAACGACAAATTCCTTGCTTGTTTGCTTGGTTTTTTTTTTTTAAGGAAAGTTCTTGCCATGTATACACACCATGTTTTTGAACACAAGAAATAGTTGACCACCCATTGGATTGATATGCCACATATAGGAAAATAGATTTCAATTGATATATATATCCAATCATATTTCAAATCAATCAGACTATTATATATATATATATATATATATATATATATATATATATATATATATATATATATATATATATATATATATATATATATATATATATATATATAAATAGTCTGATTGATTTGAAATATGGTTGGATACATGACCATAGCATCTCAGTGCTGCTCATCTAAAGTAATCATAAGGGAAATTATAACTATTGAATTGTTTGCCAGTTCTGTTTGATTAAATCACACATCAGTCAGATAATAATAAAAACAAAGTGTATATTGCCTTCATTTATAGGTTTACCTATATCTAAGCTAGTAGTGTATACAGATGCATACATATGCTGTATGTCAGCTCGTCACTATCTTTGTTCAGTTTGGTAATCCTACCTATACTCCCCTTAAATTTGGAAAGTATTCTTTTGCAGATTTTTACAAGCATTTTTATTTCTGAATAGTTATAGTTCAAACTTTTTCTAGATAATTCTATTATTCTAGGAAGATATAGACATTTTAGAGAGTAGAATAGTTATTTGGCTCTAGGCATTGAATCTGGCACTCCAACCCCCTACTGACATTTTCTGCAACTCACCACTTTTCTCTCTCCTCATAGTACACTTTTGATACCCCCTTCCCAATCTTTAAACGTATCAATATGATTTATTTTCTAATCATCTTGGTTGCAGTAATACTCTGTATCTACTCTAGTGAAGAAAGTTCAAAATGAAAACATATGACATATGTACATGGGTCATTGATGACCTATGTATATGTCTTCATTAATTCAATTGGCTGATTGGCAAGTGTGCAGCAAACAAGGTCCAAAATACTGGATGTGCAGTAAGTAAATCTAAAGTAAACGGATGCGAAAGCAGGCAGAGATGTTATTAAAACAGTTAAACGTTGAGCATTTTGCTTTTGAATAATTTTATGTATATTTGTCTTGAGGCCTATTTGGTGTATGGACTATGCTATCCTCAGTTCATAATTCTTTACATAAGTAACCAGCTTTGAAGCCATTTAGGTCTAGAAAACATAATCCTTGAGATTTCATGGTTTACAATAATTTTGTTTTTGATGTTACAGGAAGGGTGACCTGCTCAATCCGAGTGATGTCAGAAGTGTCATCATCACTTATGTGAAGACCAATGAGCTGGTTTATTCTGATAACAAAAAGTGAGTACTCTGACAAAATCTGCTGGCTTGTAACCCACGAATAAAACTGATTCATGGCACAGAGATTTCTCCTGAGCCTGGTGCCCTACCTTTGCGGCATATTCACTCTTGTGCAGCTCTTGGGGCCACTGCAGACATTGGTCTGAATGTTGTTGCATAATTAAGCTCCAAGGAGCAGGCCCTCAAATCCCTCTTGTATTGAACTGTATTGTTGCTGTATTGTCTCCCATTATATTGTAAAGCGCTGAGCAAACTGTTGGCGCTATATAAATCCTGTATTATAATAATAATCTTTGGACCCACCAGTCCTTGAACAAGAGTGGGTGGAACCTGAGGATTAAGATGTGGTAGAGGATCTTGAAGAGAAGAGCCTGATGAGAAGCAGGGGGGTTCTGTTTCTCAATCACAGAGTTTATTAGTTAAGACCCTCACTGATGGTCCAGTCAGGTTTTAAGTTACCCCCAACAGAGGCATCTGAGGTCTCTTATTCCTCTTTGGGCTCATTAAAACTGCCTCAAAGTATTTAGGCGTTTCCGGTGCACCCTCTTGGAGCAAGTTATGTATGCTGACTGGGAACACTGAGACAGAGTTTTTGTTCTGCCTAAAAGATTCTCCCTTCTGTATCCTATGGAGAAGATGTTTGTTAGAAATTGGAGCATTCTGGGGGTGGACGCAGCTGTGTCTTCCCTGAATAAGCATTTAACTTGCCCTGGGGATAATACCCAGGTGTTAAGGGATCCGGCGGATAAAAAAATTTGAATCGCTCATCAACATTTCTTTTTCCCTGGCAGGGGCTGCCACACAACCAGTGGTTGCTGCTATCCATATTTGTCAGAGTCTGAATGATCGTGTTAAACGGGTGGTTAGAAGACCATCTATTCTGATGGAGGATACGGCTGTGGATTTGGCATATTTACCACAGGCCTTGTGTTTTGCAGTTGATGCCCTTAAGGATTCAATTCAGCAGATCTCTTGCATGGTGCTACCACTCGTGCGGGTGGGGGAGAAATCTTTTAGTTTTTTTCAGAGATTTGGGACAAGTGGGTCACTGCTACAGTTGCTCAGGGGTACAAATTTGGAGATTCAGGGAATTCCTCCTCCCTGTTTCTTAACCCCCCTGGCAGTATTCCCGAGTGTAGCTCGGGGTAAAGTTTCAGTACCAAAAGCGGTAACCCTCAGCTACACTCGGACTTACCATGCGGCGCTGCTCCAGGATCCCTCGGTCACTTACCTTGTCCTGCGCTTCCGCAATGTCCCTCCTGCAGTGTCCCCTGTAATGTACTCCGGCGGATGCCGGCATCTGTCAGCTGGGTTCCGTCGGGACGTACGGGGGGACAGAACGGCGGGAAATTTGAAAATGACATATTGTGACATTCACTTAATACACTAAAATAACATGGTAAAACATTACTGTATCAAACCATTTCACATACATTTTGTCCCTAGTGCTTTGTCCTGTGCCCTGCCTGCATTGTTACTGTTCTTTCTGCCTGGAAACTGAGAAATGTCCATGGTGTCCAAAAAGTGTCCCTTTACATCAAAATCGGTTTTAGACCAGCTAGAGAACAGTGATAGTAAATTAGAACCACTTGCAGAATTGAGTGATAATGATTCGTGGGGAAATTCATCATCAGACATTGAAAACGATTTTGCGACTTTGCTCAGTGATGTGCGAACTTGGCACTATATTTCAAATTTCAGTGTTTTTGGTTTGATTATATTATTGAATTAAATTTATTATTATATTATTTTTTAATGATTTATTAAATTATCATTTATGATTTTGTGTTTCAAATTTTAACATACCCGGGATGTTTACTAGACTCTTGTTCGGACAGATTTCAGTGAGTTATTCCTAAAAATTACAGGCCTACAATACAAAAAAAATACATATTTCCATGCAAAAAAAATGTACGGCTTTGAGCACAGAAATATGGACATAATCAGACCGCTAGGGAGGTTAAGGTTCAATGTATCCATGAATCCATTGAGAAGGAAATCTTTGTTTCAGGCACTTGACTGGTTGTCCCAGGATGATTGTGGAGGTTCTAGCAGATGAAATGTTCCAGGGATTTTATTCAAACATATTCACAGTTCCAAAGCTGAATGGGGATGTAAGGCCATTTCCAGACTTAAGGGGGCTGAACCAGTTTCTTAAGATTCATTCATTTCGGATAGTCAGTTCGGTCAGTAGTCGCATCTTTACAAGAGGGAGAATTTATAGTGTCTAAAGACATCAAGGACGCATACCTGCATGTGCCAGTGTTTCCAGCTCATCAAAGGTTTCTGCAGTTTATGATAGAAACTTGACATTTTCAGTTTACAAAGATTCTAGCTCCAGTTCTAGGGCTGCTCAGAACTCAGGGAATATCAATTTTGTGCTGTCTGGATGATCTATTGCTCTTGGTTCAAGCCTGAGAAAAAATGTGGCCTTACAATTCATAGTCTGGAACGCTTGGGCTGGGTGCTCAACTTTGGAAAGTCGGCCCTGGAGCCAGTACAGAGTCTGGAGTATTTGGGATTGGTCCTAGACACTTTTCAGGCAAAGGTGTTTCTGCCTCCAGGAAAGGGCCACGCCCTGAGAGATCAATTTTGGGGTTTGAGGAGCAGGAAGTATCCTTCTGTTCGTCTCTACATGAGGTTAATGGGGAAGGTGGTATCCTCATTCGAGGCAGTACCCTATGTGCAGTTCCACTCAAGGCCTTTGCAGAGGAATATTCTGTTGTCATGGAGTAAAAATATTCCAGCACTGGATTACCACATGTCTTTATCCCCCCCGAGTGCTGCAAAGCTTGAATTGGTGGCTGGATGCTCGGAATTTGGAAAAGGGAAGATCTTTCCCACCAGTGATTTGGAAACTGGTAACAACCGATGACAGCCTCTCGGGTTGAGGGGCTGTTCTAGAAGGGTGTGTCCATGGCACTTGGTCGCTGCAGGAAAAGATCCTTCCCATCAATATCCTGGAGCTTCAGGCAGTGCGGTTTGCCCTGAGATATTGGACGACCAGGCTTCATGGTTGATCAGTCAGGGTCCAGGCCCACAATGCGACAGCAGTGGCATACATCAACCACCAAGGCAATACCAAGACCTAGAGGGCTCAGGAGGAGGTAGATGACATTCTGGTCTGTGCAGAAGGGTATGTTCCAGTCCTGTCAGCAGTATTCATTCCAGGGATAGAGAATTGGCAGGCGGACTTCCTCAGTTGTCGGCGGTTGTTTCTGGGGGAATGGGCTCTGCATCCCGAGGTGTTCTACGATCCGGGTACTCCCAACACTGGCAGATTTCCGAGATATATTGGCGTCCAGGTTCAACAGCAAGCTTGACATGTTTGAGTCCAGGACGTGGGACCCTCTTGCGATAGGAGTAGATGCCTTGGTGATACCTTGGGATTAGTTACTCCCACAGCTAGAACACAGGATTCGAGACAAGGTGATACCGGTGATTATTAGTGGCACCAGCCTGGCCCAGCAGGTGTTGGTACACAGACATTGTCAGGCTAGCAGTGGGTGATTCATGGTCTCTGCCAGATCGGTCAGATCTGCTGTCTCAGGGACCTATATTGCACCCAGCTTTACAGTCACTGAATTTGACGGCATGGCTGCTGAGACCCAAATCTTGAAAGATAGGGGAGTGTCAGGCTCGGTTATCCACACAATGTTGAGCACTGGGAAGCTGGTTTCTAGAAACATTTATTATTGAACTTGGATAGCATATATTTCTTTGAGTGAGGATTGAAATTGGCACCCCTAGAAATATTTGATTGGGAGAATTTTGTCTTTTCTCCAATCAGGCATAGAAAAGAAGTTGGCTGTTGGTACTATTAAGGATTAGGTTTCAGCCTTGGCTCTTTTCTTCCAAATTCCGATTGCTTCTCACTCTTTGGTTCATACTTTTTTGGAGGGAATGTCACATACTGTTCCTCCTCTCAGACAGCCCCTGTGTCCTTGACACTTGAACTTGGCAGTTTTACAGGAACCACCTATTAGGGAAATTCAGCTAGCTCTGCTAACTCAAAAGGTTCTGTTTTTGGTGGCAATCACCTCTGCAAGAAGGGCATTGAAGTTGGCAGTTCTTTCTTGTAGGGAACTATTTTTGGTTTTACATCAGGATAAGGTGGTGTTACAGCCTCATCCGTCCCTTTTGCCAAAGGTGGTTTCTAGTTTTCATCTCAATCAGGAGATTGTTCTGCCTTCATTCTTTCATAAGCCTCAGTTGGTAAAAGAAAGATCTTTGCCCTGGATGTAGTACATGCAATAAGGGTCTTTTTGAGAATGACGGCGTAGATTAGAAAGGCTGATTTTTTTTTTTTTTTTTTTTTTTTTTTCGCCGGAATGTCCCAGGAGAGGACAGGCAACATCCAAATCAACTATTTGTAAGTGGATTCACCAGTTAATCATTCAGGCTTATGGTTTGAAGAGCAAGGTTCCACCCTTGGAATGGTGACTGGCACTGTCTGAGGCCTGGAGCATTCTTGTGAATCAGGCTTGGCCATGCTACTGGCACCTCTGTTCTCTCTGCACCCCCTAATAAATGAGAAAGGAGAATCTGCAGAAGTGAAATAGGGCACTATACAGGCAAGGTCTGTATCTTCTTCTTCTACTGTTTGTTAAACCTTGGCAAATCTCTTCTTTTTCTAGATTAGCATAAGCCTGTTGGACCAATGAAAAAAGTGTAGCAATTGCAACATCAGCCTCCTAAACTCTTAACTAGAAGTCCCTATGAAAAATGTATTATGCTCATGGCAGACTCATCTACTGCTACCAGTATGCAAGATTTTTTTAATTCCATGCAGGAAGAAAGAACTTTTTGCTCCTTTTTAGATGTATTATTTGTGACCCAGGGCCCCCAACATTAAAAGCTGTCACTCAAACTTAGGTTCAAGCTCAACTCTGGGGAAAGATTATAACAATTATAAATCCTGCACCAGCTATGTAGATAAGAGGAAATAATAGGTCTGTTGTGTGTATGCATCAAAGCAGCAGATAACGGCAGTGAAGGACTCTGGTCACATCGTGCCCCTCTTCACTCCATGCCCTTTCACGAAAAAGAGGATGAGAGATTGTGCATTCCCACCCCTCCTTTCTCATAAGTTCCTTAGGGAACTTTTTTTGTATTTGATGGAAGTAGGTTATTCTGGAAGTCCAAGAGGAACAAGTATTTAAGGGATTTTGCTCCCATATTTTTCTCATTCAAAAAATCTCTGTGAAGTACAGAATGATTGTAAACCTGAAAAGACTGAGCAAGTACCTCTTTACAAAAAATTAAATAGGCAACTCATTTATTCCGTAACAAATCTTTTCCAGGTGTCCATTTGTGGTCTCACTGGATCTGCAGGTGATTACCTGCATGTTTCTGTTCATAAAGTCTATGAAAAATACATAAGATTTGAGATTCAATCCCGAAAAATGCAATTCAGGGTCCTTGCCTTCAGTCTCTACACAGCTCCCTGAATTTTTATAAAATTCTGGCAGAAGTGCTGGCTGTTTTTATGTTTTGATTCTCCTTTAGTCAGACAATTTTCTAATTTCCCAGGACAAGGAGAAATTGGCCTCAGGACTTCCAGAGTTTTTGGCACTCTGTAATCTTCATAAGTTACCGAAGAGGCACAGTACAGCAAAGGATTAACCTTTAAAACAGAGTCCCTGCCCCCCCCCCCCCCCCCCAAAAAAAAAAAAAAAAATTAAAAGTCAGCAGCTACAAATACTGTAGCTGCTGACTTTTAATATTAGGGCACTTGACTGTCCAGGCATCCAGCTGGAAGTGGGAACAAGTACCTGTCAAAACCAGGTACCTGCTCCCCCCCCCCCCCCCAAAAAAAAATGCGGGGGAGGAGGTAGATAAGCAGAGCTTCAACTTCTTTTGGGTGAAACTCCACTTTAAATAATTTCCTCTGTGGGGTGAATCATAGCTCTCCCGGAAGTGTCTCTCTGGCAAATCATGCAGACCTTGGGTCTTGTGACTGCTGCAAGTCCAGAGTAGTGTCAGTGGGGCTACATCCAGAAGAGTTTTCTGCTAGAAATGGAATCAGAAGCACAACTGACTAGATGCAGCATTGTTGCATCCTTACATTTTATATCTTGGTTGTACAGTATAGGACACAGGCTGGATAGGTCCTGGGATATAAGCTACTATTTTCTGATGACCAGACTGCATATACTAAAGGGTGTACTTATTCAGAGAACCAGAATTCGGGTAACTACAATTGCTGTATTTAAAAATGTCTTTATCATGTTTTAATAAATATATAATTGGTCTAAACTGTATAATCTTACTAAGCTGATATTTTTTTTTTCCCAAGCTTTGTAACAGTTGACCCTCTTATATGTGACTGCTTACTGGATGCATCAGAAAAACATGATCTCCTGCTTCTCAAGTGGGATGATTTATTGACAAGGTATAGTTCAGAAGTGAAGTGGAAGAGTATGTTGTTTTTATTTGTGTACATGCATGTTTTATCATCTAAACATTAAGGATATCCAGTGTTTGCAATCTGCACCCTCACTGTAAAGTGGCCTCCATAACAGTAATCTGCTATTTTAATGTACAACATGAATCATAACTACCAGCAAGTTTCTTTGTTTGAAACTTGTGCCCTACACCAGTAAAATTAAGACCGAAGTGATCAGGATAGGAAATGTGGAACAGCATGGTTCCTGCATTTTGTCATTTTTACACGCCTTCATTTAAATAATGAATCCCTAAATCTAAATCTAAAAGCAAATGAAAAAAAAAAAAGGCTTTACCTTCTTTTCCTCCTTGGCTGATACTGGCAACCAGTGCTCAGTAACTGCTCCTGTCTGCCCATATAGTGCAAAGCATATAGGGAGTGTCATGCTTGTTTTTTTTATGTAATTTTACTCCATAAACTTTTGATAGGTTCCACCGCTGAGTGCTGTTTTTTTCTATCACTTTGTATCCATTATACAGTATAAAGGTTTTGATTGGTGTGGAGCTACATTTTTCAATATTTTACTCCAGACTTTATTGTTTATTTCACAGTATTGTCTATTGTCGACTGTCAAGCTATTCTTGAAGGTTCAAGATGATATTTCCCTGTGCCCAGATGTCCGTAAATGGGATTTTAACCAATTGACCTCGAGAAGGTTTTACCCCCTTCATACCCAGAGCATTATTTGCTATTCAGTATTGTGCTACTTTAACTGCCAATTGGGCGGTCATGCAACACTACGCAAATTAAGTTTATGCAATTTTGTCACAGAAATAGAGCTTTCTTTTGGTGGTATTTGATCACCACTGGGTTTTTGAAATTTTATTTCATATAAATAAAAAAAGACTGAACATTTAAAAAACAAAAAAACAATATTTTTTACTTTTTGTTATAAAACATATTCAAAGTTTCTTCATAAATGTAGACCAAAGTACATTCTGATACGTTTTTGGTAAACAAACAAACAAAAAAAAAAGAAGCTCATTAAGTATATATGAATTGCTTTGTGCAACCGTTATAGCCTCTACAAACTATGGTATATACAGTTAGGTCCATATATATTTGGACACAGGCACAATTTTAGTTTTTTTTCAGGCATTTACCAAAACATATTCAAGCTATAGTTATATAATGGATATAGGCTGAAAGTGCACACTCTCAGGTTTAATTTGAGGGTATGTACATCCAAATTGGAGGAAGGATTTAGGAATTACAGCTCTTAAGAGTAGCCATCCCCCCCTTTTTCAAGGGACCAAAAGTAATTGGACAAATGAATATAATCATAAATAAAATGTTAATTTTTAATAATTTGTTGAGACTCCTTTTACTGGCAATGACTTCCTGAAGTCTGGAACCCATGGACATTACCAAAGACTGGGTTTTCTCCTTTCTGATGCTTTGCCAGGCTCTAACTGCAGCTGTCTTCAGTTGTTCTTTGTGGGTCTTTGTGCCTTAGTTTTGCCTTCAGCAAGTGAAATGCATGCGACAATTGGGTTGAGATCAGGTGATTGACTTGGCCATTGCAGAATATTCCTCTTCTTTCCCTTCCAAAGCTCCTGGGTTGCTTTTGTAATGTGTTTTGGATCATTGTCCATGTGTAATGTAAAGTGCCGTCCAATCAATTTTGCTGCATTTGACTGAATCTAGGCTGACAGTATATTTCTAAACACTGCAGAATTCATCCGGCTGCTTCTGTTTTCTGTAACATAATCAGTAAACACCAATGTCCCAGTGCCACTGGAAGCCATGCATGCCCATGCCATCACACTGCCTCCACCATGTTTTACAGATGATGTTGTGTGCTTTGGATCATGAGCTGTTCCAAGCCCTCTTCACACTTTTTTCTTCCTGTCACTCTGGTACAGATTAACCACTTGCCTACCGGGCACTTATACCCCCTTCCTTCCCAGGCCAATTTTCAGCTTTCATTGCTGTCGCACTTTGAATGACAATTGCGCGGTCATGCAACACTGTACCCACATGAAATTTTTATAATTTTTTTTCACACAAATAGAGCTTTCTTTTGGTGGTGTTTACTCGTCGCTGGGGGGTTTTTATTTTTGCACTATAAACAAAAAAGAGCAAAAAATTTGATTAAAAAAAAAGTTTTCCTTTGTTTCTATCATAAAATTTTGCAAGCAGGTAATTTTTTCTCCTTCACTGATGTGCGTTGATGAGGCTGCACTGATGGGCGGCACTGATGGGCACTGATAGGCAGCATGGATAGGAGGCACTGATGAGGCAGCACTGATAATGCTGCACTGATATCTAACAATGATGGACACTGACTGGCGGCACTGATGGGTGACACTGACTGACGGCACTGATGGATGGCACTGCTGGGCACAGGTGGGTGGCACTGCTGAGCACTGATCATCAGTACCTGGTGCCGGTCCGTCCTCTGACAATCATCTAAAACAGATCCAAAGTCTACCTCCTTATGAAAGGGCGTCCCCCACTAGTTCAGGTGGGGGGGGAAGGCTTTTGAATTTTGTGGCCGCATGGAGGGCTCTAATCCAAGACAAATGGTTCATTTCCATGATTTCCATGATTTCTCTGGGGTACAGACTAGAATTTCGGGTATTTCCCTCTCCTCTTTCTAAGATCAAATGTACCAATGAATCCAGAAAAAAGGAGAGCTTTATTTCAGGCACTCGATTGCCTATTGGCTCAAGGAGTAATCATGGAGGTTCCATAGGGGGGGTAAGGCCCATTTTGGACCTCAAGGGGCTAAATCAGTTCCTAAATGTCCTATCCTTTCCTATGGAATCGGTTCAGTCAGTAGAGGCCTCCCTACAGGAGGGAGATTTTTTGGTGTCCATAGACATAAAGGACACATACCTACTTTTCCTGTATTCATTCCCCACCAACGATTTCTGCAGTTTGCAGTAGGGGCTCAGCATTTCCAGTTCATAGCACTACCGTTTGGGCTGGCTACAGCTCCCAGGGTTTTCACAAACATTCTTGCTCTGTTGTTGGGGCTACTCAGAACTCAGGGAGTATTGGTCACAGGTTATCTAGACGATCTGTTGCTCAGAAATTGGTTTGTGCCAGATCTGAAGCAGGATATGGTCCTGGAACAGCTGGGCTGGGTGCTCAACCTCAAGAAGTCAGCCCTGGAACCAGTGCAGAGCCTGGAGTATTTGGGGATGGTCCTAGACACAGTCCAGCAAAGGTATTTCTGCCTCCAGGGAAACATTGCGCCCTTAGGAACGAAGTTTGCAGTTTGAAAGCCAAGAGGTATCCTTCAATTCGCCTCTGTATGAGTTTGCTGGGGAAGATGGTGTTTCCCTAGGCTATTCCCTATGCTCAATTCCATTCCATACCGCTGCAAAAGGTACATTCTGTCTGTTTGGAACAAAAAAGATTCTGGTCCTGGATTACTGCATGTCTCTGTCTCCAGAGGTGCAGCAGAGCTTGAATTGGTGGCTGATAACTCAAAATTTGGAGAAGGGAACATGGCTTTCATGGGAAAGGGTTCTTCCTATCAATATCCTGGAACTTCGAGCATTGAGGCTGGCTCTGAGATATTGGACATCCAGGCTTCAGAGTTGGCCTGTAAGGATTCAGTCCGACAATGCCACAGCAGTCGCATACATCGACCACCAGTGCGTTATCAGGAGTCGAGGTGCCCAGAAGGAGGTGAACTACATTCTGACCTGGGCAGAAAGATAAGTTTCAAGTCTGAAAGCAGTGTTCATTCCAGGTGTGTAAAATTGGCAGGCGGATTATCTGTCTCCAGCGGTTGATGCCAGGGGAATGGGCTTTGCATCCTGATGTTTTCAAGGAAGTCTTCCAGTGATGGAGTTGCCCGGATGTAGATCTACTGGCATCCAGATTCAACAAAAAGGTTGGTATTTTTGTGTCAAGGGTAAGGGACCCTCTCACGGCAGGGGTAGACGTCTTAGTGATTCCTTGGAAACAGTTCCCACTGATTCATGCCTTTCCTCCAATCCAGCTGCTGCTGCGTCTCTTGTGCAGGATTCAGGAGTAGTCTATTCCAGTGTTACTGATTGCTCCGGCCTGGTATGTGGACATAGTGAAGGTGGCAGTAGACGGGCCGTGGGCACCCTGCTTTACGGTTGCTAAATTTGATGGTGTGTTTATTTTATAACCCAGATCCTGAAGGATAGGGGAGTTTTGGATTCTGTCGTCCCCACCATGTTCAAAGGAAGTTTCTAGGAACATTTATTACTGAACTTGGAAGGCTTACAGTGCCTGGTGTGAGGTTCACAAATGTGCACCCACGAAAGTATGTGATTGGCAGAATTCTGTAGTTTCTTCAAACAGGGTTGCAGAAGAATTTGGCTGTTCATACCATTAAGGGCCAGGTTTCAGCATTAGATATTTTTTTCCAGAGGCCCATTGCGTCTCACTCTTTGGTCCGCACTTTTTTACAAGGGGTAATGCGTATGGCTCCTCCTGTAAGGTTGCCTTTGTGTCCTTGGGACCTGAACTTGGTTTTGGAGGTTTTGCAAAAGCCACCATTTGAACCTATTGGAGAGATTCCATTGGTCCTGTTGATTCGTAAGGTGTTGCTTCTAGTGGCAATCACTTCTGCAACAAGGGTGTCAGAGCTGTCAACTCTATCTTGCAGAGAACCATATCTGTTTTTTTTAACATGATAGGGTGCTGTTGCGACATCATCTGTACTTTTTACCAAAGGTGGTTTCTGATTTTCATCCCAATCAAGACTTCGTTCTTCCTTCATTCTTTCCTAGGCCTCAGTCAGTAAGAGAGTGATCTCTGCATACCTTGAATGTGGTTCGTGCTGTAAGGGTTTTTTTGAAGGTGACATCACAGGTCAGGAGATTAGATGCTCTATTTATGCTGCCAGGGGGGCCTAGGAAGGGGTAGGTGGCATCTGAGGTGACTATTTCTCATTGGATCTGCCAATTGATCAGTCAAGCCTATGGTTTGAAAGTTAAAGTCCCACCCTTTTGGGTGAAGGCACACTCCACCAGGAGTGTGGGGTCAACTTGGCCGCAGTGTTTTACGAACAGCTGAGTAGGTCCTGAGGGATTATTGACGGTGGTTATCATGGTGTCACCCTCCCCTCAAATTTCTTATTGCTTTGGCACATATTAGGCTGAGGCTTAGACTCTGCGCCCTGGGGAACCCTGAGTTGGCGATCTTCAAGGGATCACTATCACAGACTCTTGACACATGGTGCAGCTCAGCTGTGATGTTGTCTGTTTGAAACCATTATGGTGCTGCTGTGTTTTCTTCTCAAACAAGGAATGGGGATCCTTCCTTTGTCAAGTAAGATAGTTTGATTCTTGCGCTGGACAGTACCGCAAGCCTCATCCTTACATGCAAGGTTCCCTGTAAGGTATTCTTCATGAAAACAACTTCCTCCCAATTGATAGACTCTAGACGTAAAGGAATTGCTCACATACTGTAACTGGGGTCAGGTCCCTTTCTATTGGCAGAGTGAATGCTTCCTATGGTTTTGGCCTTCATTCAAGCAACAGTTATTGGCTGTAATTTAAGGGCCCAATATACCAGGCTCACAAAGGCTAATGGTTTGCTGGATCAGAGTTCAGGAGCATGTCTAACCCTATGGTTAAAATAATAGACAGAATGGTTCTTAAACCAGGATACCACTAATATACCAGTGAGGGTGGTCTTTACCTTTTTGTCCTCAGCGCTCAGTGTTCCATCTTACCAGTTTAGAGACTGTTTACATCCCGTGTCCTGTTCCCTCTTTTGGAGAATGTTTGTTTGTTTTTTTTTTCCCCTTAACCCAATTCCTTTGAGATGACTACAGTATGTGGGATCAAGTTCAGAAACTCTGTTAAGCACTGCAGGTAAGTCTTGCTTAGCCAATGCTAAAAGACATAGAGTCCCATGATCCAAAAGAGGTCAGGGGTGCAAACACTTCCCTCTTAGACCTACTGGACTTCCTCACCAGGTTAGTTTTTTTTCCCCACATGTTGCTTTTAGTACCTTTTCCTTCTGGGACCTTTGCCCCATACCTCATGGGCCACATCAGGTTTTAGTTCCTTTCTTCTGTTTGCGGAATTGTTTTGATTTTTCCACTTTTTGATGGATCATTTTTTGTTTGATCAGGTGTCCTACCATTCACAGGAGGTGATGCTACTGTTTTTGGGCAATCCTATCATAAGAAGGAGGAAGAGTTTATTTCAATAGACATAAGGAATTGTATCTTGCAGTACATAGAATAAACTAGAGAATTTAGTAGTCTACAATGGTCTTTTAATACTATTTAGTGGCTCCATTAACCTGCCTTTTAAAATTTTGATAGCAAGATGAGTTAAGGCTACCATTATATGAGCCTATGTCCTGTAAAACCTAAAGTGTCCACATAAATTACAGATATTCCATTTGCTCTTTTCAAATTTTCTACACTGGAAGGGCTGGTGCTACCACTGTGCTAAATTGCTAAGCTGACACATGTTCTAGTTCCAACACCTTTTATTATACATTGCAGAACTGAGTTTCTAGCTTGTCAAGATGTGTCATTTGGATGTAAGATTCTGCAGTCTGTGGTCCATTCCTTAGTATAAATCTGTGTTGTCTCTTATATGACAGTCTTGGAGAATGACTGGTAAATACACAAATTAATAACCGACAACTCCTTTTCCAAGCATCCTCCAGGACGGGAAATCTGTGTACGCCTGTGATATTTTTTTTTTTCTTTCTTGTATTGCTGTGCATGCCTTTTTGGGTCATCCTTGCTATACTGAGGGGCTGGAGCTGCTGAGGAGCTTTTAGCTACCCTGTGCTTGAGTTTCCTGTAGGTGGGTGAAGCCGATCTTTAATGTGGCCGTCCTGTACGATTCCTGAAGTTATTCAGTAACAACACATTTTTTTTTACATTTTTTTTTTTATGGTCTTGCAGGTGTTGATCTTCCATTCATTAATATGTGCTACCTGCACACAGCTCACCTCCAGTACAAAAACATAAAGTTCATGCCATGGTTTTTTTTTTTTATAGGAGAAATTGGGAATGGTTTTGTTTTCTGATATTCTTCTTTCTGGTTTCTATCTTAGGTGCTTGGAAAGAATGCAACCTTCACATAGAGTTACCTTCCCTGGGAGCTCTCCTGTTGTTCGTAAGGGAAATATTGAGCCCATTGAAATCACTGTAGCACAGAGGGCATCAAACAAGAAGGTAACTATACAACTGAAAACTTTATTTCAATTCATGTTTAGCATGTGTGCATATTAAATACTTACCCGCTACACACACACTTATTTTTTAACACTTCACATCATTTTTCTTGGCAAATATATTTCTAAATAAATGTGCTATTGACATAAAATTTTCACCACATCGGTAACAACCAATGCAATCCATACATACAAAGAAACCAAAACAAATAAGTTAAAAAATGAGAAAGTTATGTGTAATTAAATGGAATGACACAGGAAAAAAGTATTGAACACATGAAGAAAAGGAGGTGCAAAAAGGCATGGAAAGCCAAGACACCTGCTGAAATCTGTAATTGGAAAGCCATCATGCCCCTTGTCAGTGCACATTAATATCAGCTGGTTCAGTCTCGACTGATGGCCTATAAAAAGGTCTCATTACCAAGGGACATCTCATGATGGGTAAAAGCAAAGAGCTCTCTCAAGACTTTTGCAACCTTATTGTTGCAAAACATACTGATGGCTTTGGTTACAGAAGTATTTCTAAACTTCCGAATGTTCCACTGTTGGGCCATAATCCAGAAATGGAAAGAACATAATTTCACCATAAACCGGCCACTTCCAGGTGCTCCTCTCAAGATTTCTGACAGGAGTGAAAATAATTATCAGAAGAGTTGCACAAGAGCCAAGGACCACTCTGGATAGCTTGAGAAAGACTTGGAATTAGCAGGTACAATTGGTTCAAAGAAAACAATAAGTAATGCACTCAACCTGGATGCATGCTAACCAAGACTCCATTGGTGAAGAAAAAAGCTTGTTCAAAGTTTGCTGCACAACATTTAGACAAGCCTCTGGAATATTGGGAGAATATAGTTTGGTCATATGAGACCAAAATTGAACTGTTTGGATGCCATAATACATACCATGTTTGGAGGTCAATTGGCACTGCACATCACCCAAAAACACCATACCAACAGTGAAGTGTGGAGGTGGGAACATCATGGTGTGGGGCTGTTTTTCAGCATACGGTACTGGCAAGCTTCATATCTTTGAAGGAAGGATGAATGGAAAAATGTACCGAGACATTCTTGATAAAAATCTGCTGCCATCTACCAGGATGATGAAGATGAAACGAGGGTGGACATTTTAGCAAGACAATGATCCCAAACACAAAGCCAAGAAAAATCTCATTTGGTTTTAAAGAAGAGAGAAAAAATAAAATTGCTAGAATGGCCCAGCCAATCACCTGACTTGAATCCAATAGAAAATCTGTGGAAAGAACTAAAGATCAGAGTTCATAGAAGAGGCCCATGGAACCTTCAAGATTCGAAGACTGTTTGTGTGGAAGAATGGGCTAAAATTACACCTCAGCAATGCATGCGACTAGTTTCGCCATACAGGAAGCTTCTTGAAGCTGTCACTACCAACAAAGGATTTTGGACGAAGTATTAAATAAATTTCAGTTAGCGTGTTCAATACTTTTTCCCCGTGTCATTCCATTTTATTACACATAACTTAATTTCTGAACTTATTTGTTTTAGTTTTTTTGTATATATGGATTGCATGGGTTGTTACCGACTTGAAAATTTCATGTCAATAGCACCTTTTAGAAATATATTTACTGAGAAAAATGGTGACGTATTCAATGCTTATTATACCCGGTGTGTGTGTGTCTAAAATATATATATATATATATATATATATATATATATATATATATATATACACACCCAAAAAATGTAACTGCCCTTCCATGCTACCCCTTGTGTGAAATAAAATACTGGAATCCCTTTAGAATAGCTGTAAAAAATATAATTAACTATTATAATTGTGTAGGTTAAGATGCTGCTCACATAAACATGCATTCCCAGATATAAACAAAGTACATGAAAAATAAAAAAAATGGCTAAAAATTTTAAGTGAATATATAATCAACAAAATAAACAAATATACAGGTAAATGGTTCAAATATACATATAAATTAATCTAAACACAATCATATTTCTTCTGTGACTGTCCCAAAGTTTATGATTAAAGATCATGCAACAATGTGTTTTTTTTTCTTCTCAGTATAACACCTCGCACACTATGATACCCGTTACCTTATACCATATGTGCTCACCTCTAAGCATAGACCCAACAATAAATCAGGCCTAGCTGCGCTTTTTCCACTTTTAGGGACAGGAAATTCCCATGTAATTCTCCTTCCTTCCTGATGAGTTGAATGGATCACTTGCTCCGCTTCCCTTGATGTACAGGTATGGCTCTTTCCAGGATCTCTATCTTTATCTCCTCTGTGTCCAGCACGCTCACATATATATCAAAAAATTTCCGATCGTGTAGCAAGTCTGGACATAAACATTTATTTTTAAAATTGCACTTCCAATTGAAAGGTTCAAAAAAATGCCTGTCATTTCTCCACATAGAATGCCGCTGTGTGAATTATACAGCTCTCTCATCACCCAGCTCCTCCCAGGCGTAACGTAACAGCTCATGTGACTTCCTCAGGGGACCGATATTTTGAGATATATACTTGTATTTTGGGAATCCCAGGTTTGGATCTGGTGAGTTCTTGAATCAACAAGAAGCTGGACAGATTTATCACCAGGACATGACGGTGGGATCAGTATGCACTGATTGATGTCTTTTCTCCTCTGAGACTTTTGCCTTGTCTATGTCGAAGGAGTGAAAGTGAAGGGTGTTTCAGTTATTTTCATAGTTCTGGATTAGTTTAGGAGAGTGTGGTACATGGACCTTGTTTGTCCTTTAACCTTTATCAGATCAGCCTTATCTATTATCCCAAGAATGGATTGTCCACTCTGCTTCGCTGGTTTTGATGGCTAGGCTGTTGAAACCCAGGTTTTGAGACTTCATATTTAGTTATTCTAAGCATGCATACAACTCATAAATCTACTAATCTAAAAAAAAATTTTGTGAAAACAGAAATTTTTTTTAAGTGATGTGAATTACTGGGGGTTCCTTACATACCCTTTCGTGAGGCCATGCTATTTTTTTTTTTTTCCTTCAGCTGAGGGTGAAACAACAGTTGTCTCTTCGCACCATTAAGGGCAAGTGTCTGCATGTCAGTATCTTGTTAATAATTCAATGATTCCTTCTTTCATACATGGGGTTGCACAAATTGCTCCTCCTGTTCGGCACCCACTCCGGCCATGGGATTTAAATCTACTATGTCAGTGTCACAAAGACTCCCAATAGAACATATATGGCACATTTCCTTGACTTTATCCCATAAGGTAGCCTTTCTTGTGGCCATTGCTTTAGTTAGGGTTTATCAGCATTGACCTGAAAGGAGCCCTATTGGCTTTGAAACCAATGATCTATTTTCTCTCTCAGTGAGAATGTTGTGTTATGTTCATGTCCAACACTGGTTCACCCTAAGGAGATCTCTCTTCATTGTCTGGATGTGGTGAATTAAATTAAAAAATTCTAGCGCCCAAATATGTGCAGCTGTTTCTTCATTCAATCAACAGTTAAGTTTATCCAGTGGATTCAATCTCTAAGATTCTTACCAGATTTTCCAACCCATACACCAATCAATGGGTCTAATAAAGATTTTTTTTTTTTCACTACTTCTCAGTGTCTTTCTTGAACCTCTTCACAATCTCACCAGTGTATCCCTAAAAAGAAAAATTTCATATAATGCAGCATCTTCCAAACTGTAATATACTTTACACTCGTGGTCACATACGCGTATGTCACCATACATGTGTAGCCACGAGTGATCATTGACTTTGAGATTCCCCTTTTGTTTATATCCTTGCCAAACAGAAAAAATCATTACACCCATCAATCCAAATCTCTTCTTCCTCTTATGGACTACCCCTCATATTCAAATCCTCTTCATGCTCAGTGTCGCATGTAACAAGGAACATTCAATAGTGCAGTATATTCAAAACCCCACTGTTATTTGAACCTTTAATATATTGTGCTCACACTTTCTTGTACTCATGAAAGAAAGTGTGAGCACAATACAGTATATTAAAAATTTGAGTAACAGTGGAGTTTTGAATATACCTACGGAACTAGACTTTATTTTATCAACAAAACCCTCCCAACCTGCTCCAGCCAACTCTGCCATTCTACCCACCAATAAGTGGTCCACAATGACAATCCAAAAAAGAATAACTTGTACAATATACTTACGATACCTTTTTTAGATTGTAAGCGCCCCTCCTTTTAGATTGTAAGATCCATGAGCAGGGCCCTCCTCTTCCTTCTGTATTGTAATTGTACTGTCCCCCTTTATATCGTAAAGTGCTGCATAAACTGTTGGCGCTATATAAATCCTGTATATGTAGAAATAAAAATTAGAAAACCCCTCCACAAAGGTGTCTACCACCAAGTCAATAGATTCCAATTTCTGTATTATAAATTAGGGGGGAATGAATGAGGCGATTTAAGCCTAAACGCTAAACCAGCCATATGCCGATAGGTCATCAACCCAGAAGTAAATAGTACAAACAGAAAAAGGTAAAGGGCATTCTAGGATGGCCAACGGGCATTAGGACTTAATATCATACCAGAATTAAAAATACTAAATATTTTATTCCAATTATCATTAAAAAAATCTAGATAGCAATTGCACCAAAAAAGTGCCCCAGTACAAAAATACACATAGAAATTCAATGGCTACTGTCATGAATGAGAATAACGCGTTTCGCAGCCCATACTGATTCTTCAAGACTTTGCATATGAGTGGTGCCTTTTACATATACACTTTCATCTATACATCAAATCAGTAGGCATCAATAGACAGCAGTAGGTGTTTGAAGTATGTACAAAATGCAAGTATAGACCCCACAGGAGCCTGGACCCTGAGGTACCACTTTAAATGAACCAAATGTAAAATATAACCTTGGTTAAACTATTTAGTGATTTACACAACAACTCCAAAGGTGATTTGCTCAGGTGATATTTACACTGTTTTTGATGAGTTTTACTTGACTTGCTCTCATTTGTTTTAATACAGGTTACCATCATCAAGAACCTGGAACTTTATGGCCTAGATCCTCTTTCAGTTGGCAGCTTATTACAGCAAAGAGTTCAGGCAAGCTTCTCTTGTACAGTGCTCCCTGGTACAAAAGACAGAGTACAAGTGCAGATTCAAGGCAATCAAGTGTCACAAACTGGAAAGTTGCTGCTTGGTGAGTATAGTAGTGCATTCATTTAGCCCTAACGATTGGACAGAATGCTAGAAGAGTCTTGCTGATGAAGGGGCAGGAGAGGCTTCTGCCTCAGGTGCTGTGTTAGAAGTGCACAGCTGGGAAGCAGGCTGTCAAACTGACATCAGAATCTGATGCAGACTGGTACTAGTTGTCAAGCTGACCGTTATACAGGCCGTAGATGGGTCAAAAATCGGCCGAAAAAAAAAACCGTTAATGGGTTAATTAGTCGGCCGTTTTTCGTTGTTTTGGCACATTTTTTTTTTATCGGTAAAGTTGGAAAATTTGCGGTTGATTTTGACGATTGGCCGATTTTCCCGGCAATGATGGGCAATCGGCCGATCATTTTACCGATAAAAAAATCTGCGCATGAGCCGTGACCTGCAAGAAGAAGAAGTATTCCAGTCCGCTATTAGATTTTATATGAAAAGTCTTGCGGTTGCAACAATGTATCTATTTGTATCCGAATAAAACCATCTGTATCCGAAATGGATACAAATGGATACATTGTTGCAACCGCAATACTTTTTTATGTCAAATATAATAGCGAAGCTCTCTGCAAAGGACAGAAGTTTTTTTAAAAAACGGCCGATTTTCGATCCGTCTATGGCCTGCATTAAGCCCCACAGATCACACTTGATCAACTGTCCTTGTAATATCTGTTGAGCTTGACACCTAGAAAAGTGGCTACCTGTAGCTTTCGTTCATAAATTTGTGCTCATGTGTAAAGTATTGTCGTTTTCATGTTCATGAATTTTAATGTTAAAAGGTATTGGTATCTTTAATACTTGGACTGTGTTAAGCTTTGGAAGAAATGTAATCTTAATATCTTTTTTTTTTTTTTTTTTTTTAACAGAACATTTTAAGATTCCTCGAAAATACATAAGTGGCCTAGACCTGGCAGTTAAAGCTGGCAAGAAGAAATAAATTCAAAACTTGTACCCGATGTTGATGTGGACATGGTTTTTTAAAGTCTGGCCCAGTAGAGACCGCAGTCTGATTATTACTGTGGCATTAGTGAACTAAACACCAGTATGTTCTAAGCTCCAGAACCTGTTAGGACTGTACAACAGTTGCAAGAAAATGTTTGTGGCCCTTTAGGAGTCGCTTACATTTTTGGAACTCTTGAAATGCTATCTGATCTTTATCTAAGTCATAAGATAGTAGTAATAAAAAGACAATCTTTATTAAGGCATCTGTGGTTTTTATCTACAAGATCTGGGTGCTGGTAGACCATGACACAGAAGATGGAGATTTTGATGCTGATTGTTACAGTGTATGAAAAGGTAAGTGCAGGTTAGCAGAGGTCAAAGTTCGTGTTGGGGACCCTGCATTCATTATATCTGGTCTCCCACAGTACACACAACATGGAAATGCAATTATTTTAGTAAATATAAACTGTTAAACACCTTTTCTCATCAGCAGTTAGAGCAGTCTTGTGACTTCAGCAGAGCACTGGTAAAGCTTGTAGAAGGAGTTTTCTTTCTGCTCTAGGAGGATGTGAAATCCCCCTGACCCTCTGGACAGTGCTGATTGGCTCTGTGCTGGTCAAATGCACTCTCCCAAGAAAAAAAAAAACCTCTCTAGCAATACACACCAAACTGAGCATCTGCAGAGTGACTATGGATTCAGTCTGTATCAGGTGGTCATTTCAACAAGAGGAGCAGAGAAGAAAGGATCAAACCGCCTTTTTACACAATGCAGAGGATTAACCCCTTAGGTTCCACAGTGAGTATAACCAGCTTGCTCTACTGCATATACAGACTGATTTTACTGTTGTGGGTTTAGTAACACTTTAATTATTTAAAATAACCCTGTTATGTGAGAAATATGGTATCAGCTGAGCTTCTTCTGAAATTGTGAATGCTTGACTTTTGTGTCAACCCCTTGGCCTCAATGCATTCTGAGTCACTGGCCAGGAACAAGTATGTAAATCAAAAACGTCAGAGATGTGTCAAAAGTCTTATTGGCATACTTATTCTAGGTCTGTACCTGAAAGTATTAAAGCAAAAAGCTTATTGTGAGAGCCTGGTAACTCGAGTTTTTGATAATCAACGGCAATTCTTTGCTGCTCGGATAGGTGGGCATTTAAGCAATTTTATTGAAACTTGCAACAGCTTCTGTTTGACTGACACTTTCACATCCTACTTTTGAGTTGAAGGGTCTGCATACTATAGTCACATGAAGAGCTAATCTACAGTGAAGGAAATAAGTATTTGATCCCCTGCTGATTTTGAATGTTTGCCCACTCACAAAGAAATGATCAGTCTAAAAATGAATGGTAGGTGTATTGTAACACCGAGAGACAGAATAGCAACAAAAAAATTCTAAAGAACTGCATGTCTAACAAACTATGCACTAATTTGCATGTTCATGAGGGAAATAAGTATTGGATCCCCTATCATTCAGCAGGATTTCTGGCTACCAGCTGTCTATCATACAGGTAACAAGCTGAGATTAGAAGCAGTCTCTTAAAGGGAGTGCTGCTAATCTCATTTTGTTACCTGTATAAAAGAAACCTGTCCACAGGAGCAATCAAACAATCAGATTCCAAACTCCCCACAATAGCAAAGACCAAAGAGCTGCCCAAGGATATCAGGGACAAGATTGTAGACCTACACAAGGCTGGACTGGGCTACCAAACTATCGCCCAGCAGCTTGGTGAGAAAGTGGCAACAGTTGGTGCAATCATTCTCAAATGGAAGAAACACAAAACAACTGTCAGTCTCCCTAGATCTGGTGCACCATGCAAGGTCTCCTCGTGGAGTGTCAATGATCATGAGAACAGTGAGGATCTTGTCAATGATCTCCTGGCAGCTGGGACCACAATCACTAAGAAAACAATTGGTAACACACTACGCCAACAAGATTTGAAATCCTGCAGTGCCTGCAAGGTCCCTCTGCTCAAGAAAGCACATGTCCAGGCCTGTCTGAAATTTGCCACTGAACATCTGAATGATGCAGAGGACTGGTTGAAAGTGTTGTGGTCAAATGAGACCAAAATCAAGCTCTTTGGCATCAAATCAACTCGCCGTATTTGGAGGAGGAGGAATGCTGCCTATGACCCCAATAACACCATCCCAACTGTCAAACATGGAGATGGAAACATTCTGCTTTGGGGGTGTTTTTCTGCTAAGGGGACAGGACAACTGCACCTCATCAAAGGGACAACGGATGGGGCAATGTACGGTCAAATCTTGGGTGAGAACCTTCTTCCCTCTGCCAGGGCATTGAAAATGGGTCGTGGATGGGTGTTCCAGCATGACAATGACTTAAAACACACGGCCAAGGCAACAAAGGAGTGGCTCAAGAAGAAGCACATTAAGGTCCTGGAGTGGGCAAGCCAGTCTCCAGACCTTAATCCGATTGAAAATCTGTGGAGGGAGCTGAAAGTTCGAGTTGCCAAACATCAGCCACAAATCCTTAAAGACTTGGAGGGGATCTGCCAAGAGGAGTGGGCCAAAATCCCTGTAAGATATGTACAAACCTGGTGGCCAACTACAGGAAATGTCTGACCTCTGTGATTGCCAACAAGGGATTTGCCACCAAGTACTAAGTCGTGTTTTGTGAAGGGGATCAAATTCTTATTTCCCTCATGAACATGCAAATCAGTGCATAATTTAAGACATGCATTTCTGCTGAATTTTTTGTTGCTATTCTGTCTCTGTGTTACAATATACCTACCATTCGATTTTTAGACTGATCATATCTTTGTGAGTGGGCAAACATTCAAAATCAGCAGGGGGTCAAATACTTATTTCCTTCACTGTATGATCCTCAAATTTAATACAGAAAGAAAAATATATTTTAAGAAAAACATTGCAAAAATAATTTAATTTATGCGTTCAGTGAAACAATACTATATTTTTATTTTAAATACTTCCATGTTGGAGGCTCATTTTCCTATATTCTGCTCAAGTATAAGAAGTTTAAATCTGTAAATTGAAATTGCTAACGCATTTTGTTATGGTTTCTAGGGCAATGCATTATTAAAGCTCAGGAGCTACAAAATTCTTTTGCTAGCTATTTTTCATTCAGTGATGTATCTATCTAATTCATTGTAATATATATTTTTAAGTGCAGTTAAATGTATAGTTTTCCATTATGGTTTTTTTTTTATATTACATGTAGGTATAGTTTTTGGTGTAACCCAGACTTTCTCCAGAAACAAGGAGTTCTAAGTTTTTTTAATAATTAGAAGCACCACTTTTTTATTTTAACAATAATTCCCACCATAATTTCACAGTGAATAAAAATGCAGAGGAACAAAAAGTAGAAAAAATAAATAGCAAATTACTCTAATCTGTTATCCTGTGCTTCAGTGGAAGAGTAAGACGCTGATACACCACCATAAATGTCAAAAATGCCTACCAGCTAGTTTGACTTGAAGATAAAGACGGTCACACTATGTTTGCATATGGCATTATCCCCATACAAGACACATGAAGACACCTGCCATGCCCCTGTTCATACCACTCAATTTTCAAATATCCCTCCAAAATGCATATAAAAGAAGTAAAGGACTCCAAATATTGCAGACAATCCAGATTTATTGATAAAAGCCAGTAAAACCATACGGAAGAGTACTGTTCACTTTTTATTAAAATTATTACAATGAATGTGAAAGCCTGGTTGATTATACAGCTGGACATCTGCAAGCAAGTACACTGCTCAAAAAAATAAAGGAACACTTTTTAATCAGAGTATAGCATCAAGTCAGTTAAACTGCTGGGATATTGATGTGGTCAGTTAAGTAGCAGAGGGGGTTGTTGATCAGTTTCAGCTTGGTGTTAATGAAATTAACAGGTGCACTAGATGGGCAACAATGAGAAGACCCTCAAAACAGGAATGGTATTACAGGTGCAGGCCACTGACATTTTTCTCCGTACTCATCTTTTCTGACTTTGTTTTACTAGTTTTGCATTTGGCAAGGGTCAGTGTCAATATTGATAGCATGAGGCAATAGCCTGGACCCTGGAGGGGTTGCACAGGCAGTCCAACTCCTCCAGGATGGCACATCAATACGTGCCATTGCCAGGTTTGCTGTGTCTCCCAGCACAGTCTCAAGAGCATGGAGGAGATTCCAGGAGACGGGCAGTTACTCTAGGAGAGCTGGACAGAGCCATATAAGGTCCTTAACCTATCAGCAGGACCAGTATCTGCTCCTTTGTGCAAGGAGGAACAGAATGAGCACTTCCAGAGCCCTACAAAATGACCTCCAGCAGGCCACTGATGTGAATGTCTCTGACCAAATAATCCGAAACAGACTTCCTGAGGGCCTGACGTCCTCCAGTTGGCCCTGTGCTCACTGCCCAGCACCATAGAGCTCGATTGGCATTTGCCATTAAACACCAGATTTGGCAGATCCGCCACTGATGCCCTGTGCTTTTCACAGATGAGAGCAGGTTCACCCTGAGCACATGTGACAGACGTGAAAGGGTATGGAGAAGCCGTGGAGAATGTTATGCTGCCTGTAACATCATTCAGCATGACCATTTTGGTGGTGGGTTAGTGATGCCCTGAAGAGGCATATCCTTGGAGGGACGCACAGACCTCTACAGGCTAGAAAATGGCACCCTGACTGCCACTAGGTATCGGGATGAAATCTTTGGACCCATTGTCAGACCCTACGCTGGTGCAGTGGGTCCTGGGTTCTTTCTGGTGCACAATAATGCCCGGTCTCATGTGGAGAGAGTATGCAGGCAGTTCCTGGAGGATGAAGGAATTGATACCATTGAATAGCCCCTACGCTCGTCTGACATCATGGCCCTGATTTACTAAGAATTGAGTCTACCAGCAGACTCTGAACATTCAGGCAGACTCAATTAAATCAATTAAGACCTGTCAGTCTTCTGAGAGGCGTCTAACAATCTCATTGAAAAGCGTCTACTTTCCTGTTAGTAAATGTGGAATCGCGTCTGGCACAT